CATTGGTGTAAGTTGCCTGATCCACACGTTTACAAAGCCACGTTTCTGACCCCCATTGCAGGTTATCGGTGACTGGATCGGTCGTCGCTTCGGTCTCATCCAGGACGCTGCCATCATGTTCGTCGGTCTGCTGCTCCTGACCGGCAGCTGGGCCGCCTCTCTCCAGGGCTGGGTCATCTTCTACGCCTGGTCCCTCTTCTTCTACGGTTTCGGTGTCGGCGGCGAATACCCCATCACTGCCACTTCCTCCATGGAGAACGCTGTGGCCTCCGGCCGCATGTCTACCCGCGAAGACCGCCTGCACCGCGGCCGCAAGGTCACCATGGCTTTCCTGATGCAGGGTTGGGGCCAGTTCATCAACCAGGTCGTCCTCATCGTCTTGCTCGTCATCTTCAACCGTGGCTACGGCAACGGCCCGTACACCGAATCCGCCGCCCAGTACACCTTCCGCCTCTCCTTCGCCTTGCCCGCCATCGGCACCCTGTGGCTCGTCTACTACCGTACCTGGAAGATGCCGCGCGCGAACCAGCAGCTCGCGCTCGCCAAGAAGAAGCAGGGCGTCACCGGCTACGACGTCAACGCCCTCAAGTACTGCTTCCAGCACTTTGGCGGTCGTCTCCTGGCCACCGCCGGCACCTGGTTCTGCAACGACGTCTTCTTCTACGGCAACAAGCTCTTCCAGGGCCAGTTCATCTCCATCATCTCCAGCAACCCCAACTCCCTCCTGACTCAGTGGAGCTGGAGTTTGATTAACGTCGCCGTCTCCCTCTGCGGTTACTACCTCGCCTCCTTCTTCATCGACAACAAGCTCTACGGCCGCAAGATGATGCAACAGGTCGGCTTCCTCATGTGCTTCGTCATGTTCGTCATCCCCGCCTTCAACTACGACTACTACGTCAGCCCCGCCGGCGTCCACGCTTTCCAGGCCATGTACTTCCTCAGCTCCTTCTTCAACCAGTTCGGCCCCAACTCGGTCACCTTCCTCGTCGCCGGCGAGGTCTTCCCCACGCCCATCCGCGCCACGGCCCACGGATTCTCTGCCTGTATTGGTAAGGCCGGAGCCCTCCTCGCCTCCGTCTTGTACAACTACATCGACACCCGCACCAAGTTCTACGTCGTCCCGTGGTTCGGTCTCGCCGGCATGCTCCTCACCTTCCTCTTCCTTCCCGACACCACGGGCTTGGACCTCAAGGAGCAGGAGCGCCGCTGGACCTACATCCGCAACGGCAAGGAGGCCGAGTACCACGGTGTCGCCGTGCACCCCACCCATCTCAGCTTTTGGGAGAACCTCCGCGGCGTCGGCAAGTACTACGACGCCGAGAAGGACCACAAGGCGCAGATCGAGGACATGCGCAAGGAGTGGGAGGAGAGACAGGCGGCGCAGGGCGAGAAGGAGCCCGAGGTCTGGGAGGACCCCGACATGTTCTCCGAGGCGATGCACGGCTACTTCAAGGATCAGCACAAGGGCAAGAACTCCAATGGCGTCATGGACGGCGCCGAGGAGTCCTCGTCGTCGTCGACGAGGGAGAAGGAGCCCGTCGACGAGATCCAGGCCAGCCCCGTCATCGGGGAGCAGAGGCACCTGAACGAGAAGAGTGGTTAATGGGACGGACTTGCAGCAAGAAGCGTTGCATTGTAATCGAGGAGTACAAAAAATTGGGTTTGGAGTTTTTTACCTACACGGATGAGGCGGCTTCCTGCGTTTGCACTGTGTTTTGGATAGAACATGTATACCAAGAAAGCACAATGTGCTATCGCGCGAATATTTATACCTTATTATGATGATCGTCTCTGCACTGTTACTCTACCACTTCGTGATGGATGCCGCTGCTTGTCGAAAACTTGCCACTTCCGACGCTATGGACGTGGATGTGACGGCTGAGCGAACTTGACGCCGAACACGTTCGGGCGCGTCTACCGCAAGACCATGATCTCGCGTGAATCGATAGTACTTTGTGAACCAAACCCGCAAGGAAGCTCGATAGCCGCTGGGTGGGTGTCGGAGGTTGATACACACGCACACCGGGAGCATGGATTTCTGCCACTAAGGGGTCGACGGCGCAAAGGTATCCGCTGAGCAGCCGACCATGTTGGAACACCGTCCTCGTCTGAAGCTGATGGTCCTAAAAGTTCGCCGCGAGTCCTCGGGAACGGCCGGGTGTGGGAGGAGGCTACATCCACGGCTGTGTAACGCAGCCGGGTCGACGATGCGTATGCTTACTTCGCAAACAAGAGATCTCGAGGCTATCACTTCTGCCTCCTCCGTACGGCTGCAAAGATGGCATTCTATTTAGGGTTGGGGTGTTGGTCGGTCCCCTTGATGCTGTTGCCGCAGTTAGGTACGGGGCTATGGGAATGCGGCGGGTGAAGGAAACCCGAATGCATCAATAGTGGACCACGAACTCTTTGGTAAGTTTACATGGGGCGCATCGGTCCGTCGCAAGCGTGGTGTGTGTAACAAAGGCGTCGAGTAACGGTGGCCCTTATTGTTGATTGAACCCTTTGCGGTCCTTGAGGTTGGGTACACGTGTGGAATAGTGAATTCGTCTGGCGAGCCTTACATGTCTAGAACACTTTCCACCCTATTACGTCTAAGTCTCGGGTGCTAACCGTACAGTCTGATACTCGAAGGAAGCTGTATGGACAGTAGTTGCCGTCAAGTCGGCCATAGGATCGGAGCAGTGGTAAATTGCCGCTAGTTCTATAATCCGTTCAATCTCATGGCAACAGGCAGAACACCAAATGGTCTTTAACAACACATGCCTGGCCAAGAAAGGTGTTTTGGAGTCTCGGAAGCCCAACTATGAATCCTACATAATGGCTACTGATAATCTTGACAGTGCCGTCAGGGTTAGGTGGTGTACCTAGAAACAAGGGCTGGCTCATGCAATATAATATTATTGTCATACGCCTAGAACCTTCTGGCGTCGTGTTTGCCTACGAATGATCCCGAGCAAACAAAACTCCATGTCTAAACCTCTGTCTTCTGTCAGTTTATGGTACCTCCGGTGGGCTCACGACTTTGCAGGAAAGCCAGCAGTGACTCGGGGCCAGACGAGTCCGACACACATGCGTTCTGGCTACAAACTTGGCAACTCCTATTGGGGTAGCTGAGAGTTCACTCTGAGAGCCGGGAATCACCAACGGGTTGATCTTCGTATGAAACGACTGGAGGTTAGAACCTTGCGCCTAGTACCCGCGTAGTAGGGGAGGACTTGGAAGTTTGGAAGCAAGGCGCAGGCTCGAAGAGTTGAAGATCCAACAAGTGACGACATACGTGCTTGCTAGATGACAGAAAATGACAGGGTCTCTCTTTGTCCGACAAGATGAAGCTCGGCTACCGACCCTCGTTTCCCCTCTGTCCTCCGTCCTTGTGAAGCAGTGCCTAGATACAGAACGAATTGACCGCTGATGGAATGAAAAGCCGATAGAGACGGGTAGAAGCTGTACACTTTGCGGTTGAATTGGTTCTCTAGCAACAAGGGCAGTCGGGTCACATAATACAATACCAAACCTGTCTACGCCTTAGATAGGTCCTGGAGCGGCAAGGCTGTCTAGGTGAGTGATCCCTCTTGACAGTTTGATACACTATGGTCATATAGTATGAAACTGCTCTATTGTTCCCAATGGATTTTTAGGGGACCTATATCAACAAAGCCTGTAAAATTCATATTAGTTCACATCTAGATAGGGCTGGATAAGTCGGGACGGTGCGGTCGACCCTCAGCGCAAGAGGATTATAATCACATTCTGCTCGTTTCTCAACCACATACGACCATACCCACTGGAAAACTCGGGATCCCGTCCGCTCTCCCATAGATAAGCCAGTGAGGGCCGGATTAGTAGTTGGGTCGGTGACGACCAGCGAATACCTGGTGTTGTATGTTTTTTCTGATCTTTTTGTTTTTGTGGATATTCCTTATGATCCACTCTCACGATGGAGGCAGGAACCAGCCACTACCGCCCTCAAATATATTTCCAGTCAACATTAACGGGTACCTCAAGAAAGTGAGAACGCCCAAATTGGACCCTTCAGATAATCGGAATACTTTCTGGACGGGAATTGTTGTGAATCAAGCAGCTGATGATGGCCAAATTTCATGACTTACCTATATCAAGGGGGCATCGCTAGAGCGAATCAAAGTCCTTCCAAAATTTCACCAAGAGCACATGATGCTGGGAGAAGCATTGAAATAAAATATGGCAAGTATCGAACTAAAAAGGATCGTCCATATGTTGTGAGTTTGCCAACGCTTGCTGGCATGAATGGCGAACTTGGGCGTCAACATGCCCTTGCACAAACATTTTGGACCACAGAAAATAAGCTCATTAACAAGGCAATGAATGACAAATCAGAATCCCTCGGACATTCCGAATCTCCGGGTTTCTGATCAAGACTTGAGATCAGCCGCATGGACCAAACAAACCTCGTCAAATGTTTCCCATTCAATTACATCGTTGAAGGTAATGATGCTTACATCCACCTCATTCCCACACCTCAAAGAGCCGCGTGGGTGCAAAGTGGTCCCCGCTGAACCCTGAACCACGACCGACAGCGGCCCAACGTGCTTACTAAACCGTACTAAGCCGATTCGAACGCACCAGAAGGATGAGAGACGCTGTCAATGATGCGCCGGCGCGAAGCGCGCTGTCAGAACCAAATGAAGGGATTGATCCCCAGAGCAAAAAGGCACGGCGACGATCGGATGAAGCAAGTGTGGTCGGTGAATAGTGAATTCCGCGGGAAAAGAGTGATGCATGGCGTGAACAATGGTTCTTAGTGGGCACTGCCCGTTGCAGAAAGTGGGGGGAGGGGGATGGGTGGTTTTTGGAGGGGTCAATGATTAGGTAGATGCCCATAGCTTCCGAAAGCTTTCAACGACCTCTCATCTCACTCACTCGCCCAGCCAACCCATCCTCGCGGCCTCGACCTCCATAGCTCCAAGGCAGTTGGACTTCTAACCCCAGACCGTAGACCAATTAAGACAAAAAACGCAGCCATGTTCACAGGCATTGTCGAAGACATCGGAGGTCTGCAACCCCTCATTCACCCTCTCGCCCCCTTGACTCACCCCTCAATCGACACTCAACTAACACATGCCCAGTCGTCTCCGAACTCAACCCCAACGACGAGACAGGCGGCACTTCCCTCACAATCACCCTCCACGAGTCCTCCACACTCCTCTCGGATTGCCACCTCGGCGACTCCATCGCCATAAACGGCGTCTGCCTCACCGTCACCCAGTTCGAGACCTCCCCGCCGTCCTTCAAGGTCGGCGTCGCCCCGGAGACCCTCCGCATCACGAACCTCGGCTCCCTGGAGAAGGACTCCCGCGTCAACCTCGAGCGCGCCGTTCGCGCCGACACCCGCATGGGCGGGCACTTTGTCCAGGGCCACGTCGACACCACCGCCGCCATCCTCGCCGTCACGCCCGACGGCAACGCGCTGACCTTCCGCTTCGCGCCGCGCGAGAAGGCCGTGCTGCGCTACATCGTCTACAAGGGCTACGTCGCCCTCGATGGCACCAGCCTTACCGTGACCCAAGTCAATGACGACGAGGGCTGGTGGGAGGTTATGCTCATTAGCTACACTCAGGAGAAGGTCGTCGTCGCGGGCAAGAAGCCCGGCGAAACGGTCAATGTCGAGGTCGACATGATGGCCAAGTACGCCGAGAAGAGCCTGGCGAGCTACCTCGGCGGCGCGGGCAGCGCCCCTTTGGAGAGGATGGTGGAGCGCATCGTCGCTGAGGGGCTGGGCGGAAAGTCTTAGGGCCATTCGTTAAAACTTTTGTCTTTTTTCCCCCATTTTGGTGTGCGTCTAAGGTTTGCTATACGGATGCCATATCCTAACATGCTTTGTTGATACAATATGCCCCCAGATATTTCATGTTCAAGCATCGCCCCAGACCTCGGCCAGTCGCTGACTGACAGCCTTGGCAATTTTCTTGCGGCCCACGAGGTTGGGCAACCCATTGATAACCATCTCCCGTTTCCTCTTGAGGCCCTGCTCGCCCGAGCCGCACTCCTGAAAAGCCTTGATGAAATCGTGCGGCGTCTTCCACCGCTTCTGGATTTCCAATGCCTTCTCTCCCGTAATGCCCCTCGTTGTCATCAGCATCTTCAGATAAATATCTCGTAAAGTCATCATGTCCGACTTGGACGCCAACGATGCAAACGCCGGGTAGGTGATGTAGTAGCCCGTCGAGGGTTCCTTTTCTCGCAGGTGCTCCAGCAGCGGCAGGTAGTTCTGCGCCGTCAACGCCGGAGTCGGGATCACTAGGAGAGTTTTGCTCTCGTACATCTTCTTGAGCATAAACGTCATGCGCGCGAGGTACCGAATCGTGTCGTCCATTTTCTGCGTCTTCTTTAGAAAGTAGCCATTAACTACCTGAGTGGAAGCGGTGGCCGACTGGATCATCTCCTCGATCTTGGAGTAGTATCCCGAGTCCATGGCAATCTCCTCGACGATGTACACCACATGCTTGACCCCGGATTTCCGGAGTCGGAACTTTTGCTCGTGGAAGCGACCATCCTTGATACTGCTGACCAGATCGTCAAGTCGTTTGCGCTCCACAATCCAGTCCAAGACGACCTCGTCTCCTTCTGCACCGTGACGGGACAGGGCGGTAGGGTCGTGGCATTTGGCAATCCACTGCGCGTCGCCGATTTCCAGCGCCCGCATAAGGGGCTTGACACCCTTTTTGGTGAGTTCGTCTTGCATGTAATCGCGGTCTTTCACTGCTCGGACTTCTCGAATATCCAATGCGAGATGGACCGTGAATGATCCTGGCGCGAGTCGGATCGGAGTAAATGTCGGCAACGAGGCACCATCCGAGACCACTGGGCCATTTGCGACGATATCTTCATATACTGACTTGGACTTTACTTGTTCAGCTGGCTCGACCGACAATGAGGCGCCCCTACCCAGTGCTGTTGTGACCGGATCCGGTCTCGTCCCAGACTCAGCACGGGCGCTGAGACCTGTGCTGGGACCTGCCACGACTTCATCAGTCCTGTCACTTGGCTCTGTCGTCTTTTTGATGCGCCTGGCAACCTCCCATCCCTCATCCGTGAGCGAATAACGCCTCTGTGGGCGGCCTTTCTCGCAGACGAGATCCTTCTCTATGAGGGTCTTCATCGAGTTCCAGGCCGTATAGAACTTGGTAGGGTCACTGGGCGCACTGAATGATGAGTCGCAGTGTTCCTGGGCTAGCTCAATGAGGTTGGCCTTGGTCATTCCCAGTTGCGCATCTTCGTCCAAGGTCGAGAGGGACAGCAGGAGAGCGTAAGGACCAGATCGATATGTCGGAACATAGGGCCTCGCTTTACGCGCCTTCTTCGGGGGTGGGGGTTCGTCATCGTCAGCATTTCCACCAAGGGATTCGCGGTCTTCCTTGGACAAGCGTGGGTTCTTAGGCATAGGCAAGCCGTTGGCTTCGCAGTGCTCCTTCAGCTTATCCGTAAGCCGAGAGGAGAGCTTGTCTCCAAAGCCCTTCAGCTGAGTGAGCTGACGCGGGTGCTTGAAGGTGATGGGGCATGCTTTGAGAGATTCGTAGGCGTTTCGGTAGGTTGAGGCGCTCTTCATGTTCCGCTCCCTCGCCGTGTCAAGCCACTCCTTGACCCAGTCAAGGAGCAGGGGGTTGGCGTATTGCTCATGGTCGCCGGCCATTGTGCTGACGTGATGTTGGATTTCTTGGCGGTCACTTCGAAGTCATGACCGAGAGTGGCGTGCCGAAAATAGCATTTTCGCGAACGAGGAATGCAAGGCGGATGCCGGGCTGTAAGCGACGTCGGAAATCCCAGTAACCACCGTGTTGGCTCTCGGAGCAGCAATGGGGCCAGGAACAAGTATCGCAGAAAAGGCTAGGAGACGGAGGAGGCAACGAGACGCGCAGGACACGCCTAGCGCCCTGGGCCTTGGCCCCGAGTCCAATCACGAAACCACGTGACTCGTACAGGAGGGAAACGTGCGAGCCATCCAGCGTCCCGAGAGCGCTAATTAGCTAGCTCATGGATGCCCCTCAGCAAGTGCACTGGCTGTATCTGTTGTTGGTGTGGAGGGGTTTCCGGGACTGGCACCCCTACTCTTTCCACTTGCGGTGTGCTGCATCCATCTGACTTGCATGATTGCATCACGGCCAGTGTCAGCTGGCGGGGCCTGCCGTGCTGAGGTAGATTGCTGCTGCTACTGTTGCTGCTATCCTCGCTCCAGGTAACAGTGCTGGGGAGCTGAGAGGTGAGGTAAGTGGAGGAACAAGGTCTCAAAAAGAGGACACAGGAATGGCGGCCTCCACGCCCATCTAGCAAGCGAACTGCCGCCCGCCATTTCCTCTCCACTGTTTTCTCGTAAACATCCCTAGATCGACTTCTCTCTCCTTCTCTTGCTTCCGTCAATCGCTCTTCCAGCTCGTAAACCTTTCCTTCCGCCGTCTACGAATAGCTGCATCCCAAACCAGTCTTTTCCAACACTGCGCACCATGTCGGACGACAAGATCATCGCCGCTTCGCAGAAGCACCCCATTGTGCCGAACCACACCTTCAAGTATGGCACTGCGGGGTTCCGGATGAAGGCCGATCTCCTTGACGGTGTCACTTTCCGTGTCGGTCTGCTCTCCGGTCTGCGCAGCCGCAAGCTCAATGGTCAGACCATTGGTGTCATGATCACGGCCAGCCACAACCCTGCTGTCGACAATGGTGTCAAGATTGTTGACCCCATGGGTGACATGCTCGAGCAGGAGTGGGAGTCGTACGCCACGAAGCTCGTCAACAGCTCCTCGGACCAGGAGCTCGTCGATAACTACAAGGCATTGGCCTCTCAGCTCCGCATCGACCTCTCGGCCCCTGCCCGCGTCATCTACGGTCGAGACACCCGTCCTTCGGGCCACAAGCTCGTTGCTGCTCTTGCCGACTCCTTCGACGCTACCGGTGTCGAGTACGTTGACTACAAGATTCTCACCACTCCCCAGCTGCACTACCTCACCCGATGCGTCAACACCGAGGGCACCCCCCAGTCATACGGCAAGGTCAGCGAAACTGGCTACTACGAGAAGTTCGCCGATGCATTCGTCAAGGCTCTCAAGGGCCGTAAAGTCGATGGCCAGCTGACCGTCGACTGCTCCAACGGTGTGGGTGGCCCCAAGTTGACCGAGTTTCTGAAGTACGTCCCCAAGGACGTGACAGGCTTCGACGTCAAGGTCGTCAACGACGATGTCCTCCGCCCCGAGGTCCTCAACCTCGACGTAAGTCTTATCGCATTCCAATCATCCTGATTGCTTGGGCTGACAGTGGGTAGTGCGGAGCAGACTTCGTCAAGACCAAGCAGCGCGCCCCCGCCTCTCCCAAGCCCATCCCCGGCGCCCGCTACTGCTCCTTCGACGGCGATGCCGACCGTCTGATTTACTACTACACCGACCCCGATACCGGCTTCTTCATGCTGGACGGTGACCGGATATCCACCTTGGCGGCTTCCTTTATCGGGGACCTCGTCCGTTCCGCCGGCCTCGAGAATGACCTCCGCATCGGTGTTGTCCAGACCGCCTATGCCAACGGTGCCAGCACCAACTACATCGAGAAGCATCTCGGATTGCCCGTCGTGTGCACGCCTACCGGCGTCAAGCACTTGCACCACGCCGCCCTCAAGTTCGACATCGGCCCTTACTTCGAGGCCAACGGCCACGGCACTGTCCTGTTCAGCCAGGACGCCATGCGTGCTTTCCGTGAGACGAAGCCTCAGTCCCCCGCCCAGAAGGACGCCCTCGAAACCCTTGCCGCAGTTGGCAACCTCGTCAATCAGACGGTCGGCGATGCCCTGTCAGACATGTTGATGGTCGAGGTGATTCTCGCCCACAAGGGCTGGACTCTCAAGGACTGGGCCTCGACCTACTCGGACCTCCCCAACCGACTCGTCCGTGTTGAGGTTGGCAACAAGGACGCTTTCCAGACCACCGACGCCGAGCGCCGTCTCAGCCACCCCGCGGGCGCCCAGGACGAGATCGACCAGTGCGTTAAGAAGTACACCAGCGCTCGCTCTTTTGCCCGCGCCAGTGGCACAGAGAACGCATGCCGCGTGTACGCTGAGGCAGCCACCCGTTCCGAGGCCGATGAGCTCGCGAACAAGGTTGCAGGGATCGTGAAGCAGTACGGTGGGTTGTAGGCAAAGTCACGGCTGCATTACAGGCACTGACAGTGCCACACTCGATGATGGGTGATGATGAGTGACGGGTGGGTTGTCTCACCAGGAGTCATGTTGCAAAAAAATTACGGCGTTGTTTCAAAAGCTAAAGCGGATTTGCTGTTGCAAGGAGGAAACTTGCCCACATAGTTACGAAATGAACACGAAATGAGACATTTGATATCCATATATCCATTCCCCCCTCCTTGGTAGTATTGTGCAGCGTGTTACAGCAACGTCGGTGCAGGGCAGCAGAGGCGTGTTCCTCGCTGCCCGTCCCTGTTAGTTGCGGCAGTTGACAAAAACCCATTGTGTTTTGTTTTGTCATGGGGGGAAAAAACCCCCGATGGATGTTTGGTATCGCGCAAAACGTCTGTGGACACTCTCTATCCTAGCAGCAATCCCACCCCCCCAGTCCGCAAAGTGATTCTCGCGGCCCGTCGTTAGAGTTGCGCCATGCCCCCGTTCAGATCATTGGGCCAGACTGGCCGGCACCATGTCCGGTCACGTTTGGATTGGGACTGTAGAGTCTTCCTTCTCAGACTCTCAAGAAGCCAGCAGCTCACGGCCAGTGATCGTCTCTCTCGATGGCGCCTATAGGAATCCACGATGGCGGCTAGTTGGACGTCGAGCCAGTGTGTCAAGATGGGGGGTTTCGCAGTTTTAGGGTGGTTCAAGTCGTCAATTCTTTTCTAGCATACACGTTTTTGGTTTGTCCGCCCACGCCCATTCGACGCCTACCCACCTCGACGCTTTCCAACTTTGGCCGCGTCCGTCTGTCTTGTTTTCCTCCGCTGCATCCTTCTCTTGCATACCACCCCTTCACCACGCAAGTTTCTTATTTGTACAGCTCTTGTCCCCTTACAACATCCTGAAGCAGGAGGTCTCAGAAACAAAGGAGGAGAGAAAAAAACAATAAAAACTAAATAACACATTATACAAACACCTTCAGTGCTTGCCCGCCCACTAAGTATATATAAAGAGGTATAGGGAGTCTGCACACTGGCAGAGACAAAAATTCATGTGCTGTGGGTGGTTTTCCGGCCGTCAAGGGCGCTGGTCGTAGCGCCAAAAAGCCGATCTGTGGGGAATTTAGGCATGCTGCCTCGTCCCAGAGATGGCGGTAATAATCCGATACCCAAATACAGAAAACAAGAAGAGAAAAAAAAAAGCAGTTGCACGCGCCCTTCGCTTTCCCAATGCATAGTTTGTTGGCGTTACAATGAACCCAACACAGCCACCAGAAAGGTGGCCTTGAATCATATATTCCGATTGTGTAATGGCAAGCGAAGCGTAGATCTTGGTTGTCAAGGGAGTGACCTGGCCTTGGTGCTCATCCTGAAACAAGGCGCGCCGCATGCTGATGACAGGTATATGAGGCTGCATTATGCCTTAACACAAACGCCCCTATTCGAGCTGAGACCGTTTCTCTTTAAATCACTGGGCAGTGCTGCTGAGCGACTTGAAGCGGTCCTCGAAAGACTTCATTCTCTCCTTTTCCAGTTCTTGCTGGATACGTCTGGTTTCGCGTCTCGCGGCCTCGCGCTCTTCCTGCAAGGTCAAGACCTCGATTTGCGCCGTACTCATGCGGGCAATGACGTCTTGCATCTCCGAGTCGGCGTTCGTAAGTGCCGTCTCCAGCTCAACGACTTTGACGCGCAACCTGTCGATCTGGGTTTCGTCCTCGACGGACTGCTTCGGCATAGAGCGCGGCGATCGAGGGAACATAGGCGAGGGCATGGGGCTCAGACTCGACTTGCGCGGAGAGCGGAAGCCGCTGCCAACGGGGGAGGGGCTCATCCGGCGGAGTTGAGCGCTCTGAGCGTCCTTCAGCTCCCTTAGCTGCTCCTCGTGCCGTGCGACACGCTCCTCAGAAGCGATCTGAGCGGATTGAAGCTGCTCTTCCAGATTCTTGAGGCGACTCTGCAGGCGAGTGATGCGATCTGCATTTGCTTTGCGGTCTGCGTCGCCACGAGAAATGGCGTCTGCAAGACGCTGGCGAAGTTCCGAGTTCACGGAAAGCTGGTTATGGACCTGCGAGGCGAGGTCCTCGACGCGCTGGGCAGAAATGCGAAGCTCGTCGGCGAGAGCACGCTCGCTTTCGAGGTGCGTGACCTCGCTACCGGCAAGGCTTTCCAGTTGATCCTTGTAAGCCGAAGCCTCCTCCCTCGCCGCGTCGCGATCGTAAACAGCAGACGTGAGAGATTGCTCAAGTCGCTGCATGGCCAGCTGAGTGGCCTCGTCTCCAGCAAGCGCATGACCATGGCTCTCCAACTCCTTGATCTTGAGGAGAGAGTCCTTGTAGGCAAGCTGGAGGTCCTTGAAGGCTGCCTCGAGAGACTCTGAAGTGACGGGCACAACCGAGGCTGGCTCGTACGCACTTGACCGTGCCATCGACGGTGGGATAAGGATATCCTTCTCCTTCAACAGATCACGGAGGGCGGCCACCTCTCCTTCGGCACGGTCGAGGTCCATCTTCAGACCAGCAAGACCCTTCTCCACCTGCCACTTCTGTTCGGCCGCCTCTTCGGCACGGCGACGTAGTACGTTGATCTCCACACGTAAGCTGGAGATCTCTTTCTCGAAGCCGGCCTTGCGCGGAGACGTGGCCATCAACCGATCACGCTCAACCTCCAGAGACTTAATCTTCTTCTCGTTCTCCCGGTTTTGAAACTCTTGCCTCTCGAGTAGGTTCTTCAACGCATTGTGCAGGGCATCCCTCTGTGCCTCGACGTCCTTCAGGCGCTCCGATAATTGCTCGCGAGACTCCGTCAGACCAGACTTGACAGTGTTGGACCTAGTCAATCCGAGGCCTGACGGGGCCTTCTGCAGGACGAAAGGCGCAGCAGTGACAGAGTTGGATCGAGTGACGCGAGTAGTAGAGCTTCGAGGACGGGCCTCTGGCCGAGGATGTTGTCCCGAAGCCTTGAGTGCCTGGTTCTCTTGTCTGAGGACCTCCAACTCTTGTTGCATCTTGGATGACTCGTAGGTAAGGTTGACATACTCGGAAGCCTCGGCCTCGAGCCCATCAAGCTTCGCCTTCAATTGGGGCACAATCTCATCGCGCAGGTTGTCACGCTCGTTGGTAGTGCTTTGGAGCTCGACCTTGAGGACGGAGAGTAGGTCTTCGAAATTGGACTTGACCTGGACTTCCTCGCCTAGCCTGCGTCGTAGGTCTTCACAAGTGTGCTCCAGCTCCTTGAGGCGGTTGTTGGCGTCATCGCTATTGATTTGCGCCACATCGAATTGTGAAGCCTTCTCGGCCAGCTCCTTGATTTGCTGATCAAGCTCGCTTCTCCGTGATCGTTCCTCTTGGAGCTTGTTGGTCAACTCCAGACGCATGGACGCCTTTTCTTGCTCCGCACGTCGTTGAATCTTCTCGATCTCTTCTCTGTTCTGGTCATACTCGCTGAACTTGGCAGAGCTGTAGCCCGAGTCGGAAAAGTAGTCACTGGTTCTCCTTCCGGGCGCCTGGGGGTTGTTGATCTCGGACTGGAGTCTGTCGACAAGGTCTTCCAGGTCCATTTCACGGCGAATGGACGAGGCCAGCTCGGTGCTGATGGCCTTGAGTTCGTCCTCCATCTCTTCGATTTGCAGTGATGGGGCTAGGGAGGAAGGCGGTGGGGTGTACAGGTTTGATTCGCAGTATCCAAGCGCGTTTGTGGGTGTGGCATTCCCTTTTCGCGGTTCCGGCTGCAGTGACGGTACTCCGGTTGTGAGAGGAGTGTCATCTGTCAGCGTGATACGTCGTGGTGATCCTAGGGGCGAAGAAAGAGAGGAGAATTCTGTCGTCGAAGGCGACGGCGAAGATCCCCAGCCGAAGAAGTTGGCTAGCTTGGAAGAGCCCGGTGACTTGGGCAAAGGCTTATCGAGGGAGAGCGTTGGTGTTGATGTAGTGGGCGTGCCGGACTGGCGGACTTCTAATACTGTAGTGATGGTTTGCGAGGAGCTGTCTCGATCGGTTTGGAGATTCAGATGAGGAGGCGTAGGTTTGGATGTGGGTATGGACATGATAGAGTTCTCATTAGTGTTGTGACTGTAAGTTGAGTCGGAGTCGTGGCCCGTGTCCTCCTCGATGATGGGCTCAGGTGTCAGCTTGGGTAGCCTAGGGGAGAAGGTTGGGTTGACGTCGGTGGTCAAGCAGGCAAGTTCTGACGGGCCGTCCGAAGGTTTTGTTTGAGGAAACGCAAGGTTGGTGCTTGGTTTGTTTCGTGAGACAGAGGAGGCCGCGTCGTGCACCGCATCCGTGAGTGGGGGTCTGCTTGCGAGAGGACAAGGCCAGGTTAGCATTACCGTTGATAGAGTTGCTCGCTGCCAGGCTCTCGCCTGGTAGACGTCCGGCGACGACGGACGAAAGGGCCGAGGTGTTCGGACTCACTGGATGTCAAGTTTCTGGTGCGCGGCCGGAGGCGCGAACAGAGGGCGGACGTTCTCTGGGTACTCGTAGACGGTCGGGCTGTCGACAGAATAGGATCTGGAGAAACGCGTGTCGGGCGCAGAAAACTCGGAAGGCGACAAGACAGAGGGAGTGGTCGAACCGGAGCCGTAGCGGGCGGCCAACTGAGACGCAGTCGAGGAGAGAGGCTTCCGCTTGATGGCCTTGGCGGTGTTGAAGGTGGGCGTTACCACAGGCAAGGTCTGCGATCTGGTACGTCCTGGCGAGGGCGAAGGGGAGGCTGCAGGGCGGTGGGAATCGCGGTTGGATGGGCGGCCCCGGAGTACATCAGATGAAGCGTTGAGAGTCTCAGGATATGGAGGGTCCTCCGTAGCACTGGGTGGGCGTTCGAGGTGAAGGTTGAGATGAGGTGGACGAGGGTCGCGGGCAGCCATGATTAAAAACGGGATCTGAGCGGCGGTGGCTGTCTCTAATCATACGGATCTGAGTCGGGGATGTCTCACCAGGCGGTAGCAGAACCAGCAAGAGATTCGAGACTCTCAAGTCGTCGTCCATCAGGAAATGGAAGGGCAAAAAGAGGAAATGGGCCAGTGTTTGGGGGATTTTGGAATGCAATAGATCAAAGTGGTCGTAGGGGTGGGATTGCGGACAGCGACTGGCTAGAAAGGGGCCATGTTCGCGCGCAGGGATCCTGGAGATGGAGTGGATGTACCGTAGCGCTGCTACTTTGGCGCCATTTCCCGTTTGGGCGCTTGGGGGTGGTTCCCCTAAGCAACCCCCTGGGCCACTTACGTTGGAGCTGTGCCTGGCATCCATGACAGACACGCACGCACGCAAGCACGACGACGTGTGCCGGGGCCGACACTCCCATCGTCGCCGTCGTCGTCGGCGGCGACGGGCTGAGGATCGATCTGGAGGGAGCTTGTGGGGAAAGGGGGAATGCTTCGGGCGGGCTGAAGTGTATGGTTTCCCGTCATCACGGCAGGTGCGTGATAGGTAGGTAGGTAGGTGGAGGCCGACAGGAGGCGTCGCGCGAGAGGAACAACCTACTACCTAGGTAGCAAAAGCTTTACTGGGTTTTCCTCATTCGTACTGCGGCAGGGAAGCGCGGTGTCGATGGGCCAAGGTACCTAGGACGTCGGGTGCATGTAATGTGACTGGATGAACGTTGGTGCGCTCGATTGGCGTTCATTTGGGAGTGGTCACTGCCGCGGTGTAATTCTCCACGGCAACACAAAGGCATGCATGAGGTACTCAGAATCAGCAAATTGGTTTCCATTTGCCGCCGCGGTCAAAAGTTACAGCCTTTAGCCCGAGAAGGACCGTCAGTCGAATAGGAGGTCTTGATCGCTGCATCCAAACGCAGAGGAAACATTGCTCGACAGAGAACAAGGAGCATCGTTGGCCGGTGGTACTCTGTACCTCGCCCTAGCCATGTAGCGCCCCTGGCGGGCGGCAGGGGTGAGACAGCCGTTTTTTGACGGATTCGAACAGGCGTAATCTTAGCCTCCTGTGACAGTCCCGCCCAATCAGGTGAGGGAGTACGTACCAGTCCCGCTGCTTCCCTTCTTCACCTTCCAGTTCCTGTCGTTTCCACACCCTCTCCGAGCCAGATTCCCGAGGCTCTGCCACGATGTACTCTTTTGTGCCCACCCGCCCACACAACACCAACATAACGCCGGGTGCTCGTGCTCGCGCTCGCACGCACACATGCTGTCACAATCCGTGCTTCTGGACTCCTCCACTGTCGTCTCCTCTTCCTCTCCACGCCCTGGTCTTTCATCCCCGTCCCCGTCGTCCGCCTCCATGTTCGTGTCATGTCACTCGGGCTGTCATTCGACGACGGGCGGCAAAGGCCCACGACACGCTGCACGCACACCTTGCTCACTAGGTCCCCCCCCCCCCCCCCCCCCCCCCCCCCCCCCCCCCCCCCCCCCCCCCCCCCGCCACGATAGCCTCCTTCCTTGCTTCTGCACGATTTTATTCTAGCGTACACTACTACACTGCCTTACCACAGCACCACAGACATCTGAGTGCCTGTCCCTACCGACAGCATGCAGATGACTGTGCACAAACAGACTCTGGCCCTGCCTGCCATGCTTTACCGTTAGAATGTTTCCATCCCACCTGCATTGTGATGATTAGTGCCCGCGTCGTCATATCACAAATCAACCCTCCTCATTTTACCATCATCATGCCTCTCCACTACCCACCAGTTTTCCCTCAATGCCTCTCCTCTCGCCGCCAGACAGTTGGCTCCCGTGGCTCCGTAGCCGTATGAACCCGCTCACATCCCACAGCACACCTCGATGCCAAAACGGCGCCCGTCCGCTGTCATGGCCCCCTCTTGGTCGACTCGTTTTACGTTTCGCTCTCTTACCCGACACCGCGACAACAAAGCCAAATAGCGACCGCGATGCCGACAAACAACGTAGGTTTCCATCTCAAACACTGGCGGGAGCCCCCGAACTTAGAACCCGGCCACCTTACTGGAAGAAGCTGCCCAAACCCAACCTTAGCAACCAGGCACCATCCTATTCCGTCTTGGCTTTGTTTTTCTGCCAATGTTTGGGCCGCATCGTCGAAACATCGTAACCATCAGACGTGCTCCCATTCGGTTACCTCCCCGACATCGCCTTCTCAACTGACAGCCTCACTCCCGCCTCGCCTCCCGGCCTCGATTGAGCCCTCAATACAAAACGATGCTAACGACAGCACCATCTGGCGATCAGGATCACTCGCGGAGTTACCCTCCCTCTAAGGTTTAACCCCATCTGACCACCGCAGGGGAAAACACAAACCCAAAATCATGTCTCTGCCACCACCTACTTCATGACCAGTACCACCAGTTGGGATGCAGCCCTGTAGTTTGGGTTCCCGTCGAAAGAACGTTGGCAGCTCGGATCGCCTTAAATCAACCCAACTTGGTAATTCGCAGTTCTTGCTGCACAGGCACGCCCAATCTAATCGTTCGAACACGTGCCACACCTTGCGCTCGGCTCAGGAACAACACGAAATCATCCACCCCCAGACTACAGATACCTACCAAGCAATTGGGTCGTAGCATCAGCGTGCCCATTGCCAATCTAGCCCAGCAGCTCAGCAAGCTTTTGGTCGAACGGGACTCGAGCAGAAACCTTTTAGCATAGGGCTTCCACATCCCCACATGCGCCTTGAAATGAAGCATGCCGGCGAGGCGCCAGCACTGTAGTCGCCCGTGAGATCGTTAAGCCATCACCCGGCATCGCTTCCTGGATCTTGAACCTTGGCGGCAAAGGCTCTCTGTCCGGTCTGCATTCACAAAGCAACGCCAATGCGACTTTGAGTGTAAGCGCCAGAAACTTTGCGGTTGGCTGCCACAACAGACCTATTATCTCTCAAAGATCACAGCTGAAGCCGGTGGTATGTGGCGACGCTGCAGTAGGGATTCGAGCCGAAAGGCTCACCCCCCCCCCCTAAGCGGCTACGATTGTCACCTCCTTATTGGTCGCCTAAGTAGGAAGGGGTTTCTTCGAAAATGGCCTAGTGCCAGGAACGCACACATCTTGGTGGCTGGATTGGATGAAATCGAATCAAGCGCTGCGGAGATCATTTGCCCTCTTCCACGAGCAAGGGGCGTAGTCGAAATTGTCTTTCACCGGGCTCATCAGTGCGGCGGCCATGTCCCCTGCCTTCTCTCTCATGAAGAGATACTCAAACTTGAGAGCCGAGAGCCGAGAGCAAGAGTGGCCAGAACTCCGTAAGGTTTCAGCGGTACGTATATGACGATTCGATATGGGCCACACGAAAAGCGCTGCCCAGGTAGAGTATGCGACTCTATCGCACCGCATACTACAGCTCCAGGCGTTGCTGGTTTCGTTTCGACTGGTCTTGCTGGTTTCTCTACATGCATGCCGGAAGAGCGTAATGAAGGGGGAAGTCCTCAACCATAATACACTGCCGGACACATTTCCCCAAAAGAAACAGGTAGTCAGCGCTCCCTTGTCTATCTATCACTCCGCACAGACGGCGACTCTAACCCGATGGGAAGATTGTGTTCTCAATGGCAAGGGATATTGCTACCATGTCCGCAATGGTAGGTTAGGGATACGTTTGCCCAAGTCGATGATCGCCGAGTCTGTTTCCTCTCATGTCACTGGAGGCAGAGATTCACGAGCCGATACTAACGTTCCCCGCCTCGACTGACCTTTTTGGCTTGGCGAGCGGGCAGCATGGACCCTAGATTAACCTCGACATGTCGACGGGCGACGATCGTTTCCACCGCGATCTTCGTAACTTTGGAGGGCTCTCTTGATGTGTATTGTGCGCATCCTGGTAGCTACCGCTTTGGGTTCAATGTGCATCTGGACTCAGTTAGTTAAATGAGATACAAGGCACGCCTGTGTTATCAACCAATATTAAGGTGGGCGGCACTGCCTCACTGGACCCTCCTTGCCGGAGATGGTCTCAAATTGCGACCCGGATTCTCGGCCTCAAGAACGTCACTACGCGACATGAGAAACGGGCTTAGACAGGCTGCAGAACAAGCGGCCGTTATACTGTGGTGCTCGTCCGTGATAGTCCGGGCGACGTGACCTATGCCGGGGCGTGGTGAATCGACTCTGTCCGAGAATGGACCTGTTTTAAGCTGGGGCCTGGATCAACCCACAAGGTTCCGGCGCCGTTGCTTTCCGGGATGTGGGTCGCCGTTTTCGGCAAAGATGGAGACCGTCTGGTGCAGCAACCCGGGGCAGCATCACGGAAACATCGAGGTGGTGACCTAGTACGTTTCGCATCTCTGTTTCTCAACCTCTTATCCTCCAAACGCCTTGTAAATGTGGTAGGTTGGCTTCTGTCCAGTAAGATTTCAACTGATGTTACGGGAACTACAAATATTAGGAGTTCAGGTCCATCTGTTCAGGCCATGCGAAGTCCAAGACTCGAGGTGTTCGGAAAAGCACCTCGAGAGCGAAAACCCCAAGGTATCTGAAAATCTGCGTCCTATTTGACGGGATGAATGTTACTGGGACATCTCAGCGACCGCCAGCCACATATGTCACTCCATCGACTTCGGTCCAAAATCTTATGTGGCCCGGACGACCTTTCCGGGCCTGAATTCATCTCCTAAGGATTTTGTTCACTAATCTTATCTATGCGGCAAGGCCTTTCTGTGTCAGCCAGCTGAAAACGGGTGGTGAGACCTCGGTGCGGTGGTTGTCTTGCTACAGAGGTATTCTCTGGTTTTGGGCCGAGTGCTTGGAACTCAGGTATTTGACATCCAAAAAAAAAAGATCGTCTGAAGTATTGCCCCATGTGTCGGGGGCTTTGATACCCGCAGGCTGTCTGGACTGAAAGGAGGGTGACCCTTAACAGGAAGACCGAACCGATGGCGGGCCTGCTTCGAGCAACGAGTTTTGGGACAGAGCTAGACTAGCACACAATCGGGTCGGCCACGAGTTGCACATGGGAAAATCTAAAGCTTCGCGGCTCGGAAACCGGGCGCGTGACAAACACGGCGACAGCCGAGAAGCCCGCCAAACCGAAATGGAGTTGAAGATGTTCTCGACATGAGCAGAACTGGAACGGCATAGCTTGCTGCAGAGTCGAAATCGCAAGCAGAGCCCCCCACACTGCAAATGATGCTCTTTTTCTAAACATAGTACCACTACGGCAAGTCGGGAACTCAAATCGCATGCATCGCATGGCTCCTAAGCAGGGGTTGCTGGCGGTGACATGATCGCGGGGCTTTCCCCCCCCCCCTTCTACATGGTAAGTTTCCCCAATTGATGGGTGGTCCGCGGTCCGCAATGGTGCCATGCTCGCTGCCCATTTTTTTACGAACTGGCCAGTCCCAGTGGTCGACGAGATTGGACCCGGGCCTCCGAGATGTGGCCGTTGGGGACGTTTGACGGTGAATTTGGAATGCGGGTGGCTAGAGGCGCATTAGTCGGCAATTGCACTCAGCACGCTGGAGACCCGACAGCAGATTTCTTGATTTTTAATTCTGCTGCCTACAAGCAGGTGCTTGGTTCTCGGGGGCTACCAGGGCTCTTGGGTGGAATACGAGATTGGCAGCGCGCGTCGTGGGAAAGCCTGGGTGGTGGCTGGTGACCCGAGACGAGACTCGGCCCAGCTTGAATAGCCTCAGTCACGTCACATTGCCCCCGTGTCCGGCGAAGCCATGAGTCGATGCGGTCCTGGTTGTCGGCGATGGCGACCGCGCGCTGTTGCATGTCCACTGACAAATCTGGCAGAGACGTCAGCTTGCAGGACGTGAGGCCGACGCAGTTGACTAATCAGGGGCACTCCGACGAGGGGACCCAGGTTGAGGAGATGCAGCGGACCAAACGGTCGACCCGCTCTCATTTGGTCTTCGCACGTCAAGCGGCACTGCGATTCTTCCTGTACGGCTATCTGGGAAACGACGGAGCAGGCATTGAGCCCCCAACGAGCTCCCAGATCATGCTTCATAAGGCTGAGTATTTGTGTTGTAAGACGGTTCTGGGGTGCTTACGGCATACCTGAGGGAGGGTGACAAGCTGATTATGTGACGCAATGGCTAGCTGGGGAGTCCCGGGGGAGAGATACCAGACCGCACATCCACCACCCCGTCTGCAGACACGAGGTCTGCCCTCTCGTTCGTTGTGCTGGAGGCCATGGGGCCGCCGTTTTGGTACTGGCGTCGGAGGAAAGCGGTGATGGCTGCATGTGCTCCTAAGCGGTTGTCTATGCAGATAAGCTGTGCGCTTTCACGCGGTTTATGAAGGAAAGCAGAACAACGACGACACGTTTTTTTGAACGGACAGTCTTATCGAGGACTGCGTGGAAGAATAATTGCCCCTTTTGGAAAACAGTTCCCACACGGTATCTTGCACTGGCTTCACTCTAGACCCTTGGAGCGTAACACCGGCGACGACGATGAACGATGCAGAGTAACTCAAATTCGTCTGCAAGTCTCCGTCGCCCCAGATCTTGCTTGCTGGTCCCCCGGTGGCTAGCTGACACACCACCAGACGGAGCAGCCAAAAGCTACCCGCCTTCTGCCGGGGTGGGAACTACCTTGGGGCCAGCATCAGGGCAAGTCGTCCCGCACGCGGCAACGGTACCAGACCGTCATTGTCGACATGCCATTTGTATTTCCTCCGGCCTTGACAAACCAGGGGATGCCCATCTTCAGTCACCTCCTTACGCACGCTTACTCACGGGCGACGTTCGATGACTTAACTAGCAAGGCCAGGCCCTTGATGCTAGCGTTTCTGAACAGCTGCTTACCTGGATCGGATCGGGCAACAATCGTGCCTTCTCGATCCATCCAGCTCAATTTCCCCGTAGTGTGTGGCTCGTGTGGGCGAGGAAACTCGTGAGAGAGAAAGAGCGCCGCATCCCGCACCCCATATAAGGGGCAGGAGCCCGGCGGCAGCCCAGAGACGCATTGAGAAAGGAGCCTCCGGGTTTCCCTCATCATGTCCAGCAACCAACAGCGGAGCACCGCCCGACCCCCCGACAAGACCAGACGGGTGATCGCTACTGTATCCCGCCCCCTCGGAAAACCCAGCAGCGCGGAAAGCCGTTGCCCGCAGCGGAGTTCCACTCACACCAAAAGCGGAGAGCCGCAACCGCTCCCGCTCCGGACCGGCGACGACCACTCCGTCCTCACGGCACCAGGAAGCTCTATAGGGGGATAGACGAGTTCGTTGGCCGCCTGAAGAGTTAGTGGCATAAGCCGAGCCGAGAAAGAGGGGGGGACATCTTGGGAGTACTGCCCAGAACCGTTCCACAGCACCGTCGCGAGCGTGGGTTGCTTTGCTTGCTTCTTTGCGCAGAGGACGAAGGTTGAGCGTCCCGACGACACGGTCACACAACACACACACACACACACACACACACACACACACACACACATACACATACATACGCATACACGCATACACAAGCGCATATACAAATCACACTGTAGCTCCGGCTCATACGCGGCCAAGCACACACCTCCCCTCTCGGCATCGCCGACACCAACAAGCCTGAACCCTTACTCGAAGCATCACACCATCCACCGCCCAGCGGGCTGCGGACTCGACCACCATGTCAGCCCCGTCGAGCTCCTCGTCACCCCTCATATCGACCCGGCGCCGCGCCTGCACTGCGTGTCAGCAGGCGAAGCGACGGTGCGACCAACGGCTGCCCCGGTGCGGCCGGTGCACCCAAAAGGGGTTCGAGGACTGCAACTACCCTTCCCTCGAGGCCGCCGTCGCAGCCGCCGACTTCAACTTCTTCACTGACGTGCTCAGCGGCTCCGCCGGCACCCCGAACGACTCCCTCCACAATATGCTACCCGTCCCCGTCGTGCCAGAGACGGAGACCTCGTGGTCCCTATTCTACGGAAACGCCGCCGCCGTGCCGCCGCCCTCGCCCTCCGTCATGGCCCCTCCCACCAGCGAATGCATCTCGAGGGACGCGGTGGTCTACTGCAACGAGCAGTTCCGGTGCTTCCCGCGGCGCTGGGTCAGCCAGAACGGCGTCGCCCCCTTTATCCACCCGGCGCTCTACCTCCCCACCACCAACGGCGCCGACGGCCTGCCGCCCGTCCTCCAGGACTGCTTCTGCGCGTGCGCGGCGTACGCGGCCAAGAACGACGAGAACGCGGCGCTCGTCCTCGGCGTCGTCGAGGCAAAGGCCACGGCGCTGCTCTACGTGCCCGAGCAGGCGACCTGGACCCTGCCGCAGCAGGTCGCCGCCCTGCAGGCCCTCGTCATGTACCAGATCATACGCTGGTTCGACGGCGACATCCGCCAGCGCGTCCTCGCCGACACGGTCGAGCCCATCCTCGCGGCCTGGACGTCCGCCCTGCAGTCCCGCGTCGGCGCCTCTGTTTTCGTCGAGGAGGCGATCCCCCCATCCGTCATCCCGGAATCAGCACACGTCCCGGCGCAGCAGCAGTCCTCGTCGTCGACGGGGTCTTACCCGCGGCAGCGCGACATCTCGCCGGATAACTCCCGCTCCAACACCCCCGGCGGAGGCGGAGGGGGAGGAGGAGGAGGTGGTGGTGGTGGTGGTGGCGGCCGCTTGACGAAAGAGGAGCTGAGGGCGGCGTGGCGCCGGTGGCTGATGGCCGAGTCGATCCGCCGCGTGCTCATCATGGCGCACCTCGTCCGCGCCGTGTACGCCGCAGCGAAGCAGGGCGCCGGGTACGGCAAGCTTGGCGGTTCTGGGGCAGGCGGTGGCGGTGGAGGACACCCGCACCCGCACCCACACCACCACCACCACCACCACCAGGCCATCGGGCTCTCGGACATGGGGTTCACGGCGCAGACGCGGTTGTGGGCCGCCACGACGGCGGAGCGGTGGAGCCGGTCCCGCGAGGGAGACACGGCGTGGTGGGTTGGCCGCATGGACTTCTCGGGCCTGCTCGCGCTCGCGGACCCGCGGGAGGTGGACGAGTTCACCGTCATGCTCGGCGTCGTGTTCCGGGGCAAGGACACCGTCGAGGACTGGATCACGCATGGGCCGGGCTCGCTATGAGGAGACGCGACAGGGGCGGGGCGGGTGCGTAACGTAACGTAGACCCCGTGACGCGGATCACGGTCCTTTTTGCATTCGCCGGGCCTTACTCGAGGGACTGAGGGGGTTTCCTAGACTAGAAGCGAGACGAAAAAAAGACGGGAGGAAAGATGATGATGATGTGATGATGATGATGATGCGCGTGGGGCCAGACGGAGGGGGCAGCAGAGAAAAGGGGGGGAGCGGACATTTACAGTAATTGCATCGCGAGGCATACAGCATCGGCAGGGTCGGCGTTCACGGGGCCGGAAAAGGAAGCGCGGGGCGGTTCACCTTCGGGCATTTTCACCAGCATGAGCGGCAATCCTTTGCGTGGACGCGGCAAGATGAGAGGGAGACGGGGGGGGGGGGGGGGGGGGGGGGGGGTGCGGAGAGCCGGGTCTGTTTTTTTTTTTCTTATTCTTCTTCTTTTTCTAACTTCCTCTCGTTTGCGCATCTGTTTGTTTGTAAAAAATTCTTTCATTACCTTTGCATGAGGGAGACGGTCGAGAGGAGTCGGTTGTAGAAGTACGGCAGGACGAGGCGGACGACATAGCATATAGCATCGGTATGGTAGATAGACGGGCGCCACGTGAGACGACTACATTTCACGGCTCTGAGACGACGATAGAGAAGATGAATGAACGTACCAAAAACACATATAGAAATACACACTACTGTCGAACAGCCCCTTCAATGAGTTCACGGCATCGAGGAAGCGAACATTGGACGTTCATGTCTGATTCATTAGTCATGATCTATTGTAGCAGGCAAAAGACTGCATATGGCCTTTGGTTTCTATGTCTTTTCTCTCTCTTCCTCTCATTCCTTCCCCATTCGATACACACCGCTCATCGGCGGTAGGACTCGTGTCATTAAGACCAGAATAGGCAAAACAAAGGGGTGGATATCTCGAAAATGGGAAGAAGGCCGCGCCATGCCTCCTCGCCGGCGCAGGTTACGCAGCCAGGCTGGATTTTCTCTCCCTTCCAAAAAACTTTTGGGCGCAAACAAATAGCAGGCAGGGCTCATCACCCATGGGGGGAGCAGAAGCTGGATATCTCGGTGGTTTCCCCCGTCGTGGTCAGGTGGACACAGCCCGCTTCCTTGGGTAAAACACACCCCGCTTCTCCCAAAGCCCTGCTGTAGTTGGGCGTTGACCCTTTCCGGGTTCAAGTATCCCAAGGGCGGGGGTAGGACATGTACCGGGTCCAAGATGTTGGTGCGCTTAGCACATCTTGTACTCGCAGACGCCCTCCGCGGCACGGGTGGGGTCCTCGGTCAAGAACTTGTACTCGATCTTGATGTCAAGATCACGGCGGTTCCTGTCGTTGGGCTTGACGTGCAGGGTGGCGTCGACCTCCTCGCCGGCGGTCATGGTGAGCATGTCCTTGAGGTAGAAGACAGTCTGCTTCCAGTGGGTGTACTTGGTGTGGGGTCCGGTGGAGAAGCGGATGGGCTTGTGGGCGGCGGTGAAGTCAATGTCGAACCACGCGACGAGGGCGTGGATGAAGTCGTCGCGGCGGGCGGAGAGGCGGAAGGGGGTGGTGAAGGCAAGGTCCGACACCTGGCACTTGTAGAGGTCCAGGGTCAGGACGGGGGTGGGGTCAGTAACGACGGCCTTCATCTCGACCGTGTCGACGAGGGGCTCGGACAGGGCAGTAGACTTGAGCGGGCTGTAGTCAAAGCCGTACACGTTGTCCCAGACTGTTGGTCTCAAATCAGCATCTGTTCGCGCGTCTTCTGGCCAGGCTTTGCCAAGGCAGGGGGCGGCATCAAAACTCACATCCAATCTTCTCGTCCTTGTAGTCGCCGTCCTCGATACCGGCAACGAAGATGGTGGCCTTGTCGGGGAAGATGAGACCGTCGGGGTTCAGGTAGCGGTCACGGGCGTACAGGACGGTGTCCAGCATGGACTCGTAGAGGAGGAAGTATCCCATCCACTCGGAGATGATGATGTCAACCTTGGGGAAGGGGAGCTCAACCTCCTCCATCTTGCCCTGGATCAGCGTGATCTTGTCGGACATGCCGTTGACCTTGACGATCTCGCGAGCCTTGAAGATGATGGTGGACATGTCGACACCAATAACGTGCTTCGCGCCGGCCTTAACGGCGAACCTGTAGGAGAGCACACATGGTCAGTCCACCAGGCCCTGTTTTCTTCTTGTCTGATTCGGGGCGGGCTAATTTGCATACATGGACAGAATGGCAGTACCGCAGCCAACGTCGAGGACGACCTTGTCCTTGAACAGGTGCTTGTTCTGGACAATGGCGTTCATGTAGGAGCGCGTGCGGACCTCATCTTTCTGCAGGACGACGTGGTTAGTGTGGCTATTCAAAGATCGCGCCCGTGGACAGACAGCTGGATGCGCATGGGCGGTAGACAACATACCAACATCTCCTCGTGAATGCCTAATGCACATTCCACCCGGTTAGACATCATGTTTCGGTTATACTCGTTCGGATCGCGAGACTGGACTTACCATGGTGGTCGTAGCTGGACGGCACAACGTTAGCAACGAATCCTGCTTCCTGCGGGCTTTCTCCAGACAGCCTGGATGGGATCTCCAACATACCTCTTGAAGTAGTGCTGCTCAGAGTGCTCCATGCCCTTGAGCTTCTGCTCGGCGGCGTCAACCTCCATATGCGTGTCGTTGCCCATGGTGAATTTCTGTTTGCTGCGCGACGAAACTTTTCCCGTCAAGCTCTGCGATGTGTACTAGGGTGCGAGAGAACAGGAAGAAGGGCTTGTATAGAAGGGGATCGATTCCGAGAAACAAAACCCAGACACAAAGGATGAAGAGAGGAAAGGAGGAAATTTCTGGAATGAAGAGAAACACGGAGAGTAGAGTCGGCGCGGTGAAGAAAGGAAAAAGGGTCGGCGGGGGCTTTGGGCGCTGGGAACTGGGGACCTTCTCGACACGATCGGGCCCGGCAGAATTGGGACCTGACAGAGACTGGAGGGGAGGGGCGGCGGGACAGCACACGGCAAAAAAAATAATCAATCCTGATTGCGCCGCTCAATGCCCGTCACCGCCTGCACCCTGCATCGGCTGGTGCGCCCCACTTTCACATCCCACTTTGAGCCAGAGCCACGACACGTTCACTCCCGAGCTTGAGCTTTTAGTTAGATTTTTCTTGATTTTTTTTTAAAGTAGCTACAGCTGGCAGACCCCTATTGCCGGCCCGTTCCTTGCCACCGCACCACGCCCACGGGTACATCGTATGGGTTCTCTGGGACGAGAGATTCTGCAGGACAAGGCATCTTTCTGCATCGTTTGTCAAACGAGGGGCCTATGCGTTCTTTCCCACGCCGTTGAGTGGGCAATTGAACCAGCTTAAACGGGGCAATCCACATCGGGCCCGGCGAGCTTGGAAAAAAGTGCTTGAAAAATGCTTTCTCGAATTCGAGATTTTGTAGCCAACAGGAGCAATAAGCCAACAAAAAGAAGCCTATCCAACGCCACGCTATGCTATTCAACGTGCCTCGGCTTTCCTCAACACCACCTCTCATGAGGCTCTCTCCACTTGACTCCCAAGATCTCAAAGATCCTCCTCTCGTCCCGCCCCTCGACCAGCTCGCCCTCGGTCAGCTTGACACGCCCAGGACCCCTCATCACATCCTTGTAAAGACCCTTCTGGTTGAGCCGCATCCCCTTCTTCGATGCCAGCAGCCGGATGCTCCGGTTGAAGATGTCGTTGCCTGTGAAGTAGATCAGCGCCGCCCCAATCTCGGTCTCTGGGACCACGAGGAAGTCCACACGCCGCCAGACACGACGATAGTTCTTGTCGTTGATGCCCCTGATCTTGGGTAAGACGCAGCATCCGTGCCACTTGCTGCCGTCGGTCTCGTCTCTGGATCCCGCAAGTCTCGCAACGAGGAAGTTCTGGGCCTCGAGCGTCTTTACCAAGTGATGTAAGAATGGCGTAAGATCAGACGTTGTCCTTGTCCCCTTCTTGGTGACTATGAAATCAATATCGCCGCTGTCCATGGCGCCTCGACGATAACTGCCCCCAATGATAAGTTCCACTGTGGGGTCTAGCTTTACTGCTTCTGACCTCACCACTGCCCCTAGAAGCTTGATCTCAGAACGAGGGATGCGCGTGTTGAGGTCTTCGTAGTGATAGATGCCGACTCGCTGGTTCGGGGTAAGCTTCGCTTTCTCCTTCAGGTCCTCCAGCGTCCGGAACCCCTGCGAAATGAAAAGGCTTGCTTGCACACTGCCCACGCCGTAAATCTTGAGGAACATCTGCAAAACCTCGTCCATGGGCTCTCGCTCCGCACTCTCCAGCCGTTGAAGTCGGTTCGTTGTGACGATTTCCTCAATCTTGTCAGCCAATCGTTGACCCACCCCGGGCAGTCGAATTGCCTCCTCGGCCGTAGATATCTTGCTTGTTTGCCGCTTGAGTTGCGTGATGGCCTTTCTGTAAGCGATGGGGCGCCAGGTATCGTTGATACGCTCATAGTAGTTGCACATTTGCTGCAAAATGTCAATTGTACGGCTGTTTGGGTTCGTTTGATCGTCTCCATTGGTGCCCCCATTATGGCATGCAAACTTGTCTTCCCACGTCAGGTCTTTGCGGCCCCGAGTCTTGGTGACGGCTCTCTTCTTTCTCTGCCGCTCATCTTCGGAGCCTTCACCACCAGACTCTTCTTCCGGCAGCTGCGTCGAGGTTGTCATGTCGTCGTCATCATGTTCCAGTGGGAGATCCCTAAACTCTTGCATCTGGGATATAACGTCTTCGAGTTCGTCCTTAAGTGCAGAGACCGGCTCCTCGACAGTTGCAGGGGGTTCATCGTCTGAGCCATCAACGCTTTGATTATTGTGTCCATGAGTGTTTGATGGCTGTACAATCTCTGTGATGTCCCTGAGGACTGACGACGATGTAACAGCCGCATCCTTTTCATTCATTCTTCCAGAGGACCCCTGACTCCTGGATGGAGTCAATGGCCGTGCGTAGTCCCATCTCTTCGGATTCGTCTGATGGGACTTGAGCGGCAAATCTTGCAGGTTCGGTGCCAATGGCTCAACAACTCGAGATCCGATTCGAGGTTCAGCTGGAGCAGCAGATGGTTCTGGGCAGCCAGAGACTCGATACTGCTTCTGTTCTGCATTAAGTAGAGTTTTGAACCTGAGGCAATCCAAAGGGTACTCTTCATTAAGAACCAAGTACGAATGCGCGCCATGCTCCGAGCTGACAATAGACTCGATGCTTTTCCAATTCAGGTTGCTGTCAACTATGACGTGTGTCGCATTCTCCAACGATCGTACCCAAGACGCGCCGAACTCTTGCGCCTTCCGGATTCGAATCTTCCTGGCCGGCGCAATGTCATCATTGGGGATGAAGTAGAAGCGTAAGCCGCGAAAGATCTGCTGGTCCTCAGATACAGTTTTGATAGGAGGGTCTCTCTTTCTTTTCTTCATCGCGGCGATAGAGGGAGAGTTGTCAGTCCGGTGAGGCAGTATGTGCTTGGTGGCCGGCAGTGGCGTAGTAACGCTTCTTGTGAGACTCGGGATAGGCTGGAGTGGTGGCCTTGCTGAAGAGTCTGGAATGGGTGTATCCTCGATGAAGCTGTCGGCGGCAGGAGCGTCCTTCCTTCCGGGACCCTTAATCTCGGCAAGTGGAGTCCGCTTGATGACTTCCTTCCGTTTGAGATCCGTAAACGAAGCCGGGGCCGGGGCCGGGGCCGGGACCGGGACCGGCGACGTTCGTCTGAGGTTCGAGCTCAAGTGTTGGGGAAGTGGCGATTGCGACTGCGACTGCGACTGCGACTGCGGCTCTCGCTGTGTCTTCTCCTGAAGTGGCCGACGGGGTTGCGCCGCAGCTTGAAAGGCCTTTAGTTGTTGCCTGTGACGCTGCTCGGCCTCCTGGAACTCGTCGTCGTCGTCATCGTCACTTTGTCTACCGAGAGATTCCAGCTGGCGGAAAAAGCGCGCTTTGTCTCTGAAGGATGTGTTTGTGTCGGCCATGGCGGTTTGTTGATTGTCAAAGAGGCGCGCAGGAGGAGCCTTTTAGTGATACCGAGTGTGCCAAAGTCATGGCGGTGGTGGGACGGTGCTGCCTGAGACCATGGGCCGATGGGAACGGAGATGAAGGACGACAAAATGCGAGTAAGAGTGCGAGGGTGCTGAGGGTGTGACATACACGGAAGACGGCCGATGCTGAGTTGTCATTTGACGAGGTTGTTAATGGAAGGGATGGATGCCTTTGAGAGACCCCTGGAACAAAGACGCTGGAATTGGCCAAATCTGGTACACCTGCGTGGGGAAGGCACCGCATTAGTGCTGCGGCCGCCTGCGAGTCATCCAATTAAGGCCGTCCTCAGCATTGACAGCTCCCAAGTGGGGGATAGGACGCAGGAGCCACCAGCGACCGATAGGCTCTTTCCCAGTGGATTGACGCCAGGTTGCATCGGATCGACCGAACCAAGGTGACCTTTTTCGGTAGGACTCGGTCAGCACAAGAACCTCGTAGGATCCTACCGGATGCTGTGATGAGCCTGGTTGATTGGTGTGGTCAACCCGGCGTCCGTTAGTGTCATATACCTTCCTCCTGCCCCCTAGAGTTACAAAGAACCCCCGAATATCTCGAACAACCCAACGAAAGATGTTTACAAGAAGGGTCAAGAGAATAGAAAAAGAGATTCGAAAAGGAAGGTGAAGAGTGAGCGACTTCTGCTCGACCTCTCTCAACTGTATCCATAATATCAACAATAGTACCGAGACACTCACCCTGAGAGTTGAACAAAGGAATTCCATTCATGGTTTATTGGCCAAAAGAAATGACCCTAGATCGTCACAGGTCTCATCTGTCTTACTTTTCTCGCGTAATTACAAGTACAGTGGTCAGGGAGGCACCATCTCATCCTCCACTTTCCATGGTATCACCGTAGTTTTGGGAATCCAACTATATTTACAAACAAATAAAAGACGTCGCTCGTTTCCTCATTCCTCCACGCCGAGCCGTTGGTATCAATAGCCGCCGTGTATCCTACAGCTGTCCTCGGCTGGGACGAGTTGGCGGCGTTTTTTCCTAGTTGAGCCAGCGACAGTGCCGTGCGCTGTATTTGGTATCGTGAACAAATAGCAGGGTCATGTCGAACTAGGAGCTTGCCGCGGCTTCTCAGGAGGCCGGAGTGTAGCATCCTGCGAGAGGTTGTGCAATTGAGACTTCAGCCACCTGCGCTTATTGAGCATGACCGAATTGTGATGGGTATTGTGATGACCCGGCAAAGTTGCGGGCGTCCATCAAAGGGATGCTGTTGTTCTTCTCCATGGGCTGAAAGGAGCCCATGTCGTTCGAGTACCGGCTGGCCGCCTCGTTATCCATGTCGTTGAGCACCTCTCTGGTGAGCTCAACGTAGTCGTAGGCAAACTCGCCGATCTCGGCATCGTCGATACCCAGGATCTCGGCCTCCTCGGTGGCACGTAGGCGGAGACCAGGGATCATGTTCATGATGAAGAGGATTATGCAGGTACCGACGAACGAGTAGGCACCGCCGCTGAACGAATCAGCGAGCTGGTACCCGAGCTGGATCCAGTTCTGGTTGATCCAGCCACCGTCAATCTCAGAGACACCGTCGAGGTGAGCAATGTAGTTGGCGGCGAAAAAGGCGGTGCAGATGTTGCCGACGAGACCGCCGATTCCGTGGACGGCGAAAATGTCAAGAGCGTCATCGATTCGGAGGATAAACTTGAGTTTGGTGGCGTAATTGGCAAACGCAGCCCCGAGAATGCCGAAAGGCACGGCAGCCCAAACGGGGACGTATCCTGTGACAAGTCAGTCAACTGTATCTCACAGATAAGGGGGTCCGAGACGTCGAGCACTTACCAGAACCCGGTGTGATGGAGACCAAACCAGCAACAACACCAGAGCAGAAGCCAACGGTGGACCACTTGCGCTCTAGTCTGTAGTCCAACACGCACCAAGTGATGCCGCCGACGCAGGCTGCCAAGTTGGTGACGACGGCGGCGATGACAGCACGCATGTTCGCAGACAGAGCCGAGCCGGCGTTGAAACCGAACCAACCGACCCAGAGGAAGACGGTGCCGATGACAATGTGCGTCACGTTGTGGGGTCGGTAGTTGAGCTCGTGAGTGCCGTGACCACGGCGCTTGCCCAGCATCATCGAGTAGGCCAGAGCAGCCGTGCCGGAGGCAATGTGCACCGGCGTTCCTCCGGCAAAGTCGAGGCCACCCATCTTGTTGGACCAGCCACTGGGGTTCCACGTCCAGCAAGCAATCGGGTCATAAATGACGGTGGCCCAGATGAACATGAAGATTACGCAGGGAAGCATGCGTCCACGCTCAGCCACGGCACCCGTGGCGAGGGCAACGGTGATGCAGGAGAACATGCCCTGGTAGACGGCGAAAAGAAGATCGGGGAGGCGGCTGGAGCCGACGGATGGACGGCCGAGAACGTCCTTGAAACCGAAATTTGAAAGATCGCCGATGAAGGCGCCAGCAGAGTGCGAGAAGGTGAGAGAGTAGCCCCAGAAGAACCACTGGAAGCTGGTGACGGCTGTTGCCATGACCGAGAGCCAGATGAGAGAGAGGGCCGATTTTCTCCTTGCCAACCCCGAGTAAAAGAAACTAGAGAGGATCGTGTCAGTAAGCAGGCCAGGCACAAACCATGCTTGAACAGTACTTACCCAACGCCGGGAATCATGAGCAGGACTAGCGCCGTGGCCGTGATCATCCATCCTATGTCACCAGTCTGCAAGTCTCCATATCAGCATGCTGTACAAGGGGGCTCCAGGGTATGCAGTTGCATGTCGAAGGACGACCTACCTCATACCAAATGTTCAGATCCTCCGTCAAGGAGTCGCCTCCTGTAGGGCCGGAGCCATTGTACGGTACCAGGCGCACGTAGTTGAGGTCGTCGAGATCGAGAGGGGACGCCATCGTATCCAGGACCTCGCTATCTTATCGCCGAATCGGCAATCGGGGGACCAGGGCGAAAGTGGTAGGATATGTCGACCGTAGCGGAGGCTAGGTGACGGGAGTCGTCGGTCGACGGTTGACGATTTATCAAAAAAAAAAGGCCTGTCGGCAGAGCTCTCTTGTGAGCGAAGCCTTGTGAGTGAGCGCGAAGGGCCGTCGCGGGGGGTCGTCGGAAAGGACAGCAATTGGGGTGAGACGAGCAAGAGCAGGCAGAAGAGGCGCGGGATGCGCGAAGCTTATGAATGTGGATGCCCCCAGCGCCCCGACAAGTCGATGGAGAGTTGCGTTGCGGGCGTTGCGGGCGGCATGGCGACTAGCCCTGACAGTGGCGGGCGAACTAGACCGGTACGGCAGGACTCACCCGACGGCTTCAGCGGCAGAAACAGTTGTACAGGTAGCGGCCGTGGCAGCAGCACAAAAACAGAAAAAAAGGTACCTACGCCCAGTCGGAGAGTGTGAGAGGCAGCTGCAGGCCGCAGTATTGCTGGGCTGTCCCACGGAGACCCTGCCCTGGGCTGTCCGCCCTGGGCCAAGGCTACCGGCTAGGGACTAAGGGGCGGGTGGCCAAGGTTTCTCGGGGGTGTGTGTGGGATGTCGTGGGAGGCCCTGCAAGAATGAGGCAGGGGCTCCGACCAAGCCGACCGCGGCCAATCGGTACACACAGGGACGCTGGGCACACCGCAGGGGGGCGAGGCACGGGGGTGGAGGCTCTATCGGTTGCGACGCAGATCCATGAGTTCCCTTCTAGGCTGCGCTGCGCTGGCTGCCGGGGGAGTTTCGGTTAACGACCTGACGCAACGGGATGGCATTTGCATATCCAACACACAGGTGCAGTTTACGAAAAAGCAACGACGTTGATGCGATAAGGTAGGTGGTCGGGGAAGAGGCAACGAGGGACACCCAAGCGAGCATCAACAAAAAGCAACGGCCGAGAATCCAATGCCACTGCCCGGAAGAGGGCTAAGGTACCTCAGGTTGATCAGACGCCCTCAAGACGCAACGGCTTGGATGGGAGTTGGTCGCCATCTTTGGCCAAGCCAGCGGCACCGTTTACTGTGCCCCATGGGAAGTAATTCGGTCCACTCTGCATTCCGTCATTCCAAGTCCTAAACCTTGCCGTCGACTTTCATCTTCCGGGTCTCGCTCGCTTCCGGAAGGCGCACTCTGAGTCCAAGTCGGAAATACTGGTGCCTTGAAAGTCCTCATCTCCAAATAGCCCACAGGTCTCGAAGTCATCTCTCCTTGTCCACTTGAATGAAAGTCGCAATGGGGAAATGCATGTGCTTCCTTCGTCTGGCCACGCCCTCCCTTGTCCTACCAGGGTCGAAATCGCCGTTGAATGGCGGAGGATGAATGGGGAAGAGAACCCGCAGGCCCGTCGTTATCAAGCAAGGGTCTAGCGTGGCCTGAGATAACGGCCAAAATTGCTGCCCTTGCTGGCTTGATGCCACCGCCGCCAATTGCTTCTTCCCGCCATCAGTGCGCCAAGAAACGGCCGGGCCAATCCGTATACGTTCTGTGAATATGATGGATTTTGGCAGTTGTACACTAGGCCCAGCCATACGGTACTTCGCGTTGGCACAAAGCAGTACCGAGCCCCCCTCCATGGTGTTTCCTCCGAACACACGAGACGTTATGGTCTGAACTCTTTTGCGAGCCGGAGATCTTCCACTCAAACTTTGAAATGACTGATACTTTGTAGATGATTGTGGTTAGCCCCCGAGCATTGCGTCTTCTGGTATGGACGTTGGGCGATTGGTCATGAGTCGATCACGGAGCATGGACATCTGTTCTGCTGCTCCGTCCTTACCTTTTTTTTGCTTACCGGCCGGCCAGCTTACTGTTTCGAACATCACAGGCTCGGCGAATTCATCGTCCGGCAGATCTCAGGGGCAACGGATCGCCATGACAGGCCAGGACAGCGTGCGTGATGCGGCCCAGCATAATGACCAATTTGGCAGAGTACATGAGGTGGAAGCGGCCGCAAAAGCATGTCAGATACGGCCGGGAACAGTCATCTGCGGGCCGAAAACCAGTGGATGAACCTCCTTGCGGGAGGCAGTGCCGACCTTTTTGTTGCACAAGAATGGCACGTTCTGTTCTGGTAGCCGTCACTTCGGCTATTGAAAAGGCAGCCGCGAGAAGGGGGGGATAGAATAGAGTCGGATGTGTGTTTCCTCGGAAGGGAAGGATGCCAGGGACCGTCTCACATGAAATCCTGGCCAAATCCGCAAGAAGTTGCGTTTTCCGACCCCAAAGGAGACAAATTAGGCTTTAGGAGATGCTTGACGAGTGTACCGTGTTGTGTCGGGCCATGGTGCTCGAGACGAAATAAGCGGCATAGTAGCCGTCATCCTATGTCTCGCTGAAACGGACGGGATTTGAGCCGATGATTTCTTGCGGCAGGGCGGGAACTCAAAGTTTGCACCATTTGCAACACTCAGCCAAATAGACTTTGGAACAAGTACGATTAGCCATTTCGTCATGTCACGAATAAGATGAAGCAAGAGGTAGAGACAGAACGGACCTGTCTGTAGTAGGAAGAGGGGCCGTCATGGATATTGCGACACGTCAGTTGCTTGCTCGAACTGCTCTCTCGAACCGCCGTATCGAATGCCTCCTCAGTAGGTTGGCTGCAAGCTGTAATTACGATGGCGACGAATGCCTTCGACATCGTACTATGATTGATGGCATGCTCCTTGCCATCTCCCACTGCCTCTGGGCGGCTTCAAACGCCTAAGGCCGCATTGGGAAAGCGAACAAGGATGGCAGCCAGTCCCGCCTCTACCATCCTGATGGGTGACCGAAGGATCAGAAGAAGGATCAGAAGAAGGCAAGGCCACCAGCCGAAGTCACCGAGTAAATGGCCTTTGTCATGATAAGCTTTTGCATCCTGATTGGCTGATATGCACACCAGCCAAGGGCATGGCAGGGCCAGAGCCTAGCGATGCAAGGTGGGGGCGCGGTTTGGATTTCGAATCTTCTTTGCTCTTTCTAGACCCCTGCCGCCAATCTCAATCCATGAGGTATCCCTCCTTTATACCTACCTACCTACCTTTAGTGTACTACGAACCGTCACCAGGCAATGGCGCCGCCTTTTCAACGTCGTATCGTGTTCCACAGCCGTCGCCGGCTGTGAAGGTCGAAATGCGTAGGTGCAACAACAGTGTCTCCCGGTCGCTTGAATTTTTTCGACGATCGCTCGCTCCCCCCAGCCAACTTCGTGCCCGTACCATACCCTGCGGCCTGGCCAGGATCACTTCCCATGCCATGACACTACACCAAGGGCAAGTGTAGCTTTGATTGAATGAGGAACACTCCGATGCGCAGGTCCTGTGAGGGTTGGTCATCTCACCGAACCACCAGTGCTTCATCTTGGGTCAGCAGGGGGCTTCGACATATCTTACCACCTGTCCCACATCAACTCATGGACCGTCGGCTGCACTGAGCCTCGCAACCGGCACCTAGACTATCCTAGACTATCCAGTCGCCTTCCAGAACCAGCACCTCGACCGGCATTCCCTCCTCTTATGGCAATCACTCTGCAGCACGCCCAACCAGCGTTGCGTCGTACCTGGAAACTGTGCAGTTATAAGGGGCTGTTAAGAGTGTGGCGATGGAGCTGTTACACACTCAGCTCAGACACCGTGCCCAAGTCGAACCTTTCTATCCCCCACGGCCCGCGTCTCTATCTCTACTGTGATTGACAAGACAGTAGTGCAGACGCACTCACAGCCCACGGCCAGGGGTGCTGAGTGGCTCCCAGCCTTGATTAAATTGATCACTCCTTCTCGTCATACAATCGCCTTCCGGGATATCAATCTCCCCCAGATCAAAGGGGGTTCAAATGTCACGCCCCAGGAACCACATCCAACCTACGCGTCACGTCATTCGACGGCGGCCCATGATTTGCGCCAGGACATCCTCCTGAGCTCCGCCTCTCAGCTGCTTTCCCAGGCCCGTCTGCGGGTTGTTTTCCTCATGAGACTAGCGCTCTGACACCCTGTCAGCAATGATATTGCCGACCGGGTGCTGTACGGTTCCGTGTATCCACAGCTCTCTGGCTGACAACGACCGTGGCTGCTGTCTTCAGTGAGTTGTGTTGCGGATGTCGTCGAAACACATCTGGAAGGGTTCATCACGGACTGTGCTTTGGGGAAGAGGCAGCAATAATCATTCCTGTCAAGTGTCCAGCAAAAGCAAACAAATGTCTCGTGGCGCTGGACTTGCTCAATGGTTTCTACACATATTGGATCCCAAAGTCTCACGGGCCTGAAGGTTAAATTGGACCACAAGCCTGATCCCGCGTGAACTAGGCTCTGTAGCACACGACCAATCTTCCCGAAAGGAAGCTCATTATACAGACCCTGCATTGACGAACAACGTTGACAACCGCCGGCTATTCTTGCCGCGGGCGAAGTGGCCTGTGAGAGTTCTCCCCCTCTCGTTCGGGAGAAAGGGGCGGCCATCATCCACACGATGAACCAGTGCCCAACGGTTTCTTTATCCGGACTCATCCCAGGTGTGGTTCCTGGGCTGAATGGCAACCCGACCGTTGCGAAGATATTGACCATCGGGTGTTGGACGCTTGCGATCGTTCCAGAAGTGCGCCTTCCTGATCCTGCTCACATCCGCCGACCCATTCGACATCCGATCTGGACCCTTCACCGCGATAAGGCATGAAGAGGCAATCTCGTCTATCGACAGACCGCTTCTTGTCCCAAAGTCTCAGATCAAGCGGTATGGGGAAAGGGAGCCGAGTCCGCCGGCGGCCTGGACAAATTTTCCAACCACACGGTCGCGGACTCTCTGTATCCTAACTCACCTAAACGCCAGTTCAAAGACGCTGCTGCCTTCACATTCCCAAAGAGGGTCGTGTCAACACCTTCTTCAAAGACTAGTGACAGTGGAACCTCCTTGGTTGTCGAGGGCTTTACTCCTCTTACCACTCCACATGGAAGACGGACCGCGGTGTCGGGTTCGACCGGAAAAGGCATAGACGTAGGCTATACTGGATGCCCAAGAAAACACGAAACAACACCGACCAGACATTGGGAATCGCTGGCTCCCAGGGTCCTGTTCGAGTCGTGAATTAGCGCTGAAACGGAAAACTGCGCTCCCCCAGAAAGCTCCCTTTCATCTTGGAACCGCTCTACTACGCTACTCGGTAGGTCTTTGGGCCGAGCACCGTCCGCTACTCCTTTCTATTCTCGACGCGATCCAAACAGTGAAGCACACCCGTGTATCGTCCCAATTCCCAGATATTTCTAGAGTGAAGCCCCGTCCTTGCCCGAGGCCATCGCCAAACTTCGCCTTGTCTGGCTCGCCATGAATTTTGTCGGGGATAAACGTGTATTGCATGCCACGGGGGGCTGACTGTTCAAGCTTTGCATCGTGTGTATGGCAGTCGAGGGCCCGTGACAGATGCTCGCGATCGGGATGACGCGGTCACCGATCTCTCGAGCATCTCCGCTGGGCACAAGCGCGACATTCTAGTCTCCGGTCAGCGCCTTACGCCTTCGCAGCGAGCCCCTTTCCCCGGTTCACTCTGCCGCATATCACTGTTTAGCACACCCCTTTGTCTCTTAAGAACGCAAGTAGTTGCAATATTATTGACGTTCTGCCAGCAAAAGGCCCAAGGACTAGGGAATTGGATTCCATGCTGTGGCTAGCGGGCTGTCTTATCCTACTCTACTCATACGTCCTGGGCTATAATTGGACACAGCACACACAAATCTCGAGACACGTTGCTATGGGCTTCCCATAAACACTATTGAATCCAGCCTTGAGCCTCTTCTACAACTATCAGCCGGTTTAGATAACCAGAGCTCCCTTAGGGAGGAGCCCCCAGTGACCACCGCAGGAACACTTCCTCTGCTGGGCCAGGACAAACGTGAAGCCCGGCCTAGAGCCAAAGACGTCCTCCATGATCGCCGAGCACCGGACACAACGCCTCCATTGCGCCAGTTTGGCATCGTCGCCCTCCTTTGTGCTGCGGGCCGGCGGCGTAGCCAGCTCGACGCGCTTGAAGACGTCGATGAACCGGCCTTTGGCCTTGCGCGCCGCCAGCGTGCGGCGGTCGTCGTCGATCTCGAGGAGGTCAAAGTCGGCGAAGAAGAGCTTGGAGGGGTCAGCCTGGGCGCGGTACGCCTTGAGGTCGGTGTTGAAGAACTTGAGGAGGACGGGGAGAAAGGCCGCCGGCGGCGATGATGCGAGAAGCATGTTGAGCTCGCAGTGGATCTGCGCGTTCTTAATCTGCGCGTCGATGGCCTTCTGTCCGCCAGGACCGGGGGGGTTCTTGTTCGCCAGAGACGCGAGGGAGTTCTGGTAGGCGGAGCGAATGTCGTTGTTGAGGACCGTGAGGAGACGGTCAAACTCTTGCACTTTGATGAGGCTGCTCGAGGTGACACGCTGCATCTTCTGGTACGCCTTGTAGAGGACGACGTGCAGACCCTTGTTTTGTGAAGACGGGTCAGTGGCATTCTGCATGGCCGCCCGGCGCTCGTAGAACTCGATGGCGCGGTTCGAGAGGATCTCAAGGTGCAGGATACGGCGGCATACGGCAGAGAGGAAACCGCGTGTTGATGAGCACAAAAGCAGGTGGAGAGAGACGTCGGAGCGGGATTGCAGGTAGGTGCTTATCTCGGAGAAACGCTGTGGTGTGAGGAGGGCAACGAACTGCGGGTCGTCGAGGAGAGCAAAGAGAGAGTCCGTAAGCCAGGACAAAAGGTCGAGGGACCACTTTGCACAGCCAGCGAGCGCGTCGACAACCTCGTGCTCGTCGAGCGGACTGAGCTTTTCACGGATGTTGACCGGAGTGTTGCTGGCGATGGTGATGAGAATGACGACATTGCGTGCGTTTAGCGCCAGCATGGCGAACTTGCCGCCAAACGATCGAGGCTGGAACATGCCCTTGTAGCCAAGGTGGTTGAGGATGCTCAAGCACATCTGTAGAGAGCTGTTTCTGACGAGACTGTCGTGGTGGGTATCCTCTGAGTAGTCGACGGGAACCTTGAGCATGCGCACAATCTCCATGATCCAATCGCACGTGAAGCCTACAAAGGTCAGTTTCATAGTTGATTCGCGTGTATCATGTAAACCTACGCTTTTTGTCTGCATATGGTCGGGCAACCGCCAGGATATCGTCGTAGTTTATGTTATTGAACGTTGCTGTCGATGCAGCTACCGTCAACGCAGCCAACGTGGCGGCATATGGCGCTATTTGATGTCAGCGTGGTACCAGAGAGACCAGGGAGTCGAGAACTACCGTCTTGGCTAGAGTTGCCGATGTCGCCCAAGGGATAATGCAGCTTGCTCCATTTGACCTTGCCATCGTCCTGTATCTTGACTATGGAACAATTCGTAGGAGAAAACGCCATTTGCAGACCTGAGCAGATAGTGAGTCAATGCACAAACGAAAACAGCAACATATCAACCTACATGGCGATTCATCCTGAAAGGTAAAGCCCACCTGGTTCAGTGTCATGACTCTGTCAAGATTCATCTCGTTATAGATCTCCTGCATAGTGAACCTATCGCGGTATTCCACTGAACCATCGCTGAAGGCCAAACAAATGACTCTGCCGTACTGGAGAGTGTGGACGCCAATGATGGCCTTGTTGATGATGACGGGGTCGTGCTTTTTGAGTCGGGATGTGGACTTTGACTATGTTAGACGCAACTCTTTTGGATATGAGAACATTACTTACAGCCGGAGCCGCGCCTGTGCTGTTTCTGCGACTTCCTAACTGCTCAAACGCCGGGTGAAGACTCTGGGCCTGGTCATTGAGGACCTCCCACTTGTCAATGATGCTCTGCGTTTCCTGGTAAGGGGTATTGGGTGTTGGCAAGTAAGTGCGGACTGCGAGGATAACAAGAGGAGCCCAGCCCTGGCCCGTGTGATCCAAAGTTGACGGTAATATCTCCAGATGTGTCAGTTGGTTCGCGGCGGCGTCGATTGGTGTGGTAGACGAGCCACTGGGCAACCAGCTGGAGATTGCGACATGCTTCTCCTGCAAGGTTGGATTCAGGGCCTGGCTGCCCGGGGGTGGCTTGTTGTCGGACTGAGACTGCGGCAGTCCCCAATTGATGCCAACTCGCACAAGTCGCAACTGTTTGGAGGTAGTCGCCAGAGCAATCCACAAATTACCTGGAACATGTCAGCGAATCTCATCGTCAAGGGTCCATGGGACTTACTCTTATCGCTGTGTAGCGCTGCGTGCGTGATCAAATCATCTGAAGAGTTGACACTCTCGAGTTCTAGTGTAGTTTCCTCGATCTTGTTGTTGTTCTGGGCCCAGAACATCTTGAGGTGGCCGTTCGTGGTGACGCATAGGAGAGCGCTCTTGGACGGGTTTGGATGCCAGGGACCGTAGGCATGTACGAAGGAGCTTTCGTACCGGTACTGGTTGCCATCCTTGACTGCCGGTCCATGGCTCACGTAGTACTGAACAATCAGTTACCCGAAGTAGTGTCGGGGTGTTATGGGATGGGGATTTACCTGCTTGGCTTGGGGTGCAAGTGGAAGCCAGTAGCTACCGACGATGGCGTGAAGATCATCGCTCGGATCGTGATCCCACTTTCGCGTTGCAAAGGGGCGATTCAGGGTGATGGAATATGTTAGGATGGCGACTCGACCAGTCGCGTCGATGACGGCAAGTTCGGGACTCGTTGTTGAGGCCCATGCCAGGTGCACTATAGGGCTAGAGGCGTTGATGGCGATGAGGTCAACCTTTGTCGGCTCGCTGAGACCCCAGTTGCCATCATCGGGGTGAGAGCGGATAAACCTGGCTTCCAGGGTCTTTCCGTCAGGAGAAATGGAGGCGATGGCGCCGGATCTCGACCATGCTACTCCCCTGGAAAGCGTGAGTACACAACAAGGCAAGATGGTAGACGGGATGGTTCCTCACTGGCAGCAACCGCGAGTCCGCAGCTCATCTATTCTCTGACGTAAATGCTTGGTGGGGGGGCGGGCGGTATGAAGAGACAGGCCGACGCCGTCGCCGAAGAGGTCATCGACGTCGAGCTGATCGACCTGCATAGACCCGTTCATACCGTTTTCGAGCATGAGCGGCATCTTGGCCTCGGTCATGGGCGTCGATTCGGGGACTTCGTGTCTATGCGCTCGCGCATCCACAAGTGTCCACCACGGCTGATGGGCGAGGCTGGAGGGCTGGTCTAAGGCAACAGTTCTGACAGCCGGCAGAAGCTCATCTTAGGAGCAGGTCGAACGAAGCTTGTGAGACCATACGATGGGCGCCAGACGATACACTTCATACAAGAGATTAAAACTACGAGAGAATGTTGTTCTGATGTAGTGACCTTGGTGAGGCTTGATGGAACGATGAGAGGATAGACAAGAGATGGTGTGAAGTGTGGCTGGAGCTCAGAAGGATGCATCCAGACGTTGACATTGAATTGTCAAGTGGACCCCGAATCTTGACCCAAATGAACCCCGACCAATGGAGACGGGTTTGAGTAGTGAAGGGACTCCACTAGACCACATTTTGCCTCAGCCTCAACTTCGCACACGGCTGGAGGGGTGGAAGGAGAGGGCGGGTACACCTTCTTCTAAGCTAAGCCTAATTGGGACGAGCTCGATGATATGTTGAGCCACACTGAGGCTGTTGACCATGGTGCTGTGCGGCAAGTTCGCAGGCGCAAGTCCAATCCCGATGTTCGTGGGGAAGAAAGGGACCCGTGACGTCCGTCCGATGATCCCTGCATCTCAAGTCCGGCCCCCATTGACTGTGACAGGGGGAACGACGGGCAGACGTGGACAACAGACAAGCTACAGGAGGTCAGTGTTTCCGGGCAACGGGCGCCCACTCCGTCCGGTTCGCCCGCCCTGTGGCCCATGTGGGCGCAGATGCATTGGTGTGTGTTGTGCTCTTGTCACTTTTTTGGTCCCCCGCGACTCGGCCGCGTTTCAGCCGACCGCCTTGCCTTACCTTACCTCGATCCGATGCCTTTGTGTCGGCGATGAAAACACGGGGATAAACAACAGACTTTTGCTCAAGCTTTGTAACTGAGGTGGCTGCACGTGACAAAGACATTCGTCTCGAGGAGCCATTTAAGCCAGCGTTGGACTTGGTGGTTTACGCGTCTTCAGCCCGCCCGCTGAATGACGTCGTGTTTGTCAACTCCGAGTTGTGAGGCGAGGTAGGAGTTGCAGACCGCACAAGCCGTGACAGAGACGGCGAAAGCCTGATTGCTGTGGCGAGGCGTGTTGGGCAGTTGCTGTCCCAGCTACACAGTACTGTTGTGGCGACCGACCTTGCGTGGAGACGTGAGGGCGAGTTGGACTGCCGCTACTGCGGTGCATCTTACTGCAGCTCACCGCTGGATCGACAGACCACTCACCTTTGGATGGATAGCCGCCACAAGCTTATTCCGACTCGCGGCTCCAGACTGTGGCCTCCTGTTTGAGCACACAACTCAATTCCAAAGCAACGTGATTTGAAAACCACAAGCAATGCTTAGTCCCTCTTCCACAGCACCGGTCAGGGTCTCTCCTTAGGTAGGGTTTGGCCCGTGAAAGAGACTGATCGAAAAACGCGCCCGGTGCGGGATAAAGCAGCTGTTGTGCCGGACGCGCATGCCGAGTCATTTTTTCTTAGTAAAGTAGAATAAACAGCGGGGTTGGCCGTCATCATCTCAGAGGTCGCATTGTTTACGAAGGACAAGAGAGGGAGACACAAGTGAGTCGAAGAAGGGGAGGGGGGACGCAAGAACAACAAGAGGGGAGAAACGCCGGAGGGCGGAGGACGTGGACGGAGGAGCGTCGGGGACCAATGTACCTTTTCTGCTAAATGCGGCGGGCATATACATGCAGTGGAGTCAAACAATTAATTGTTAAGAGCAGCAACTCCCTACCAGCCAAACAGGAGGAGCAATAGTAGAAGCGAAACCTGACTTTGATCGGACCCAATGGGAAATTAGGCGACTCTCTGCTTTGAAAAAGCCGGAACCAAAACACAGAGAAGCGCGTGCGCACCGAACCCAGACGGTAGCAGCGGCAGCAGCAGCAGCAAAGCACTAGCCACCGCACCGTTCCCCTACACTACTCTTTCTCCCGTCTCTCCCGCCTCTCTGGCTCTCCCTCGCTCGCCCACCCGCCCGCATTCTTCGCTGCCGCGCCGGCCCTGACTGGATCCATACCAATCTGATCTCATACTGCTGCTGGTCGGGCTTTTCTGGCTTGTGTTGACCGCACTCCAGGCCTCTCTAGCCCGTCTCGCTTTGGTGCGTGTTCCAAGTCACGTCCGCTCCCACATCCTCTTCGGCCTCCTCTCCCCCCCCCCGTGCCCCCTTCCTCCGTGGCCCCCCCCCCCCTCCCCCCCAATCCATGTACGTCTGCAAGCAGATGCCACGGCTATGTACTTGTTAAGGTACCCTCGCCCGTCCGCTCTCCACACTTTGTCTTTCTTCAACGACACTTCTCACCTTCCCGCCAACAACGAAAACCCTTTCATACCACTCGCGGAGAAAGGAACTCACAGCCCCGTAAAACGTCGAACAATCGCCATGGTATAGGACGTTTCGCCCATGTACCTGCGCTTCGTCTCTTGGTTCTTTTCATCCTCCTCCTCTCCTCCATCTCCGACCACCCACCTCAAAATGGACGCAACGCCTTCCACTTCCTCAAATATGGACGTCGACGCGCCCCATCAGATCTCTTCTCCCTCGGATTCCGCCCTCTCCTCGCCTCTCTCGGTACTGTCAAAATCCCCATCAATACCCTCGTCGCCTGAAATCGCTCTCGACGCGTCAAAGAGATACCCGTCGCCCACGTCCTCTATGCCTTCCGGCGCCCAGTCGCCAATCAAGCTGGAGGCCGCTGAAGACTCTGTGCCCGCCATCAAGCTTGACGACGCTGCCGACTCCATCAACGTCAACTCCAACGATGCCCCCGACGGCCAGCCGCCCAGGAAGCGGCGCAAGGTAACACCCCCAAGGAACGCACCACGGAGCACCTCAACCTGGACGAATGCGACGTGGACGACAGCAAATTGGCACGCCTCGTCTCCGCCCTGAAGAAGCGGAAGAAGATTGTCGTCATCGCAGGGGCTGGGATTTCCGTTTCGGCAGGCATTCCTGATTTTCGATCCAAGACCGGCCTTTTCGCGACACTCCCGAATGAGCACAAGGTAAAAGGCTCAGGCAAGCATTTGTTTGACGCCTCGGTCTACAAGCACGACTCCTCAACCGAAAAATTCCACAAAATGATTTGCGACCTGGCGACCATGGTCAAGGCCGCTAAGCCCACCAAGTTCCACCACCTCCTAGCGTCACTCGCCGCAGAGAACCGACTCCTTCGCCTCTACAGCCAAAATGTCGACTGCATCGACACAAACATGGAGCCCTTGAAGACAAATGTTCCCCTTAACACCAAGGGCCCATGGCCCAAAACCATCCAGCTCCACGGGAGCGTCGAGCACATGGTGTGCTCGAAATGCACCGATATCAAGCCGCTAAGGACAGAGCTTTTCGTTGGCCACGAGGCCCCACTGTGCGAGGAGTGCAAGACAATCGACGAACTCCGAACCCAATTTGAGCAGAGGCGGAGCCACGGCATTGGTCGCCTGCGCCCCAGGATGGTGCTTTACAACGAGTTTAACCCCGACGAAGAGGCCATTGGGAAGGTTTCGAGTGTGGACCTGAAGTCGCGTCCCGACGCGGTCATTGTTGTTGGCACAAGCTTGAAGATTCCCGGCGTCCGGAGGCTCGTCAAGGAGCTGTGCCAGGTCACGCGCAGTCGTAGGGACGGGTTTACCGCGTGGATCAACACGGATTCTGAACCCCAGCACAACGACTTCAAGGACTGTTGGGACCTCGTGGTTCGTGGAAAGTGCGACGACGTTGCCCACTGGGCTGCGCTGCCACGTTTTGACGAGCCTCACGGCGACCAGTCCGCGTACCTTAGCGAGGGAGAGGACCAGCGGCGTCGGGACAGAATTAGTAGGGACAACCTCGAGGTGCAACTTATATCGCCCACGCCCGATTCGCCGACCAAGTCTGATTCCAGCACTATGTCGGAGACCAGAAAGCGCAAGCTCGTCGACCCCGTTCAGAGCATTCCGACGCCCACAGCGAGCCCGAAGATCAAGGCCGCCGAGGCTTCAAAGAAGATTACCAAGCCCAAGCAAAGCAAGCTCTCCTTTGGCGGCCAGCAAACTACTGCTTCTGCAAGCGAGGCGCCTGCGAAGAAGGCCAAGAAGGCGTCTACCAAGAAGCCCCGAAAGTCCAACAACAAGAAGTCTACAGAACCGCCCAAGAACAGCGTCACTCAGACGTTCAAGACCCAAAAGAACCGCGAGCTTGCCGACATGCCTCAGGAGACCCTGGCTGGCAAGTTGGACAAGCAGCATTACATGTATCCCGAGTCCCAGCTTAAGTCCCAGCTAGAGCCCCAGCTCGAGTCTCAACCCGAGTCTTTGCTTCCGCCCCTGCGACCTGTACAAAAACCCATCCAAAGCTCCGTTTACAAGCGTGCAGAGAACCTGGGCACCGAGGGGTCGGAGGATGACGTTATCCCACCTACAAGGCCTTTCGAAAAGATGTCAAGACCGTCTTTGGCAGAAAGACCGAAGTCGTCACCGCACGCCGGCATTACGATGGAGGGCGGCAAGAACAGCAACGATGTACGCCCTACCACGCCTATGCATATACGACGACGATCGGCCGACACGATATCCCCCGAGTCGGTTCCGCGAGGGATGGAGTCCTTAATGAATTGAGTACAGTTCGGAAGAGTTGTCTATCACGTGACTACTCGGCGTTCATCATGTTTTTGTTATTCATAGAAAGGCATTGACCTACCGGTACCGAAGAGTTCGGGCCACGGGTGTTGTTCTACGGGAGGTGTTTCGCATACGGAGTTGACCCGGATCACGTTTCATCACTTTATCATGTACATACGCATATCATCTGCTCTTCTGTATAAAGCGGGCTCGTCCTGAGTGCGGGAAAGGCATCACACAGCTCACGATGTGGGCTATCGCAAGCGAGGGCTACATTGGGCCGCGGGCACCACACACACGCGCGCACACACTGGCTCGGAAACGCCGAGGTTGCAAATGGATAGAGGCGCCCTGCGTCCTGGCATGGAACAAACAATAGCGTCAATATACCACTGTGAGGTGCGAGATAACTTCTTAACTCGTCCGATGTCTTGATGTGATCTCATCCTGGACAAGTGACGACCGGCACCAAAAAAAAAAAAAAGGCAGATGGACGCGTTGACAGCCTGGCCGAGGTGCCGGCCGAGTTGCTGACCATGTCCCTGAGGCACACACTGGCAAACAGTTCAGGCCAGACACACACGCCCCAACGACGGTCGGCTGCCAGGCGCACCTGGGTTCACTCACTGGCCTCTGACTCGTCTGAGAAGCTTTGACGGCGAACTCGAGCACACGGCCATCACCAGCGTTGCGACGTCGCCCGCCGGCTCTTTAGGATCTGCTCCGGGTGATGCTCAACCCGGAAACCATGGCATCAATCACAAGAATGATCACAAACAAGATTTTTTTTTGAATCGATAAGCGGAACGGTATATATTCTGGCAGCGTCTTCATGATGCTGTCTGCGCCGTGGACACGTCCGGTGGATGGGCGTTCTCTACGCTCTCCCCCCACGCGCGCGCTCACACCATGCTCATGAATCAGGCCTCCCTCCTATCGGCCACGCAACAAAACCTAGATACATGCAGGCTCCCCTTGTTTTTTTTTTGGTGTGCGCGCGCGCAAACTCCCATCTCGCTGCTCGCAAATATTCTAACATGAATGAAGGAGTCTCTCTCCCTTCTCGCTGCATCTCGACCCTCTTCCCCGGTCCGGTGTTTTGCCAGTACTGGTATGAATCGACGCCGTAGGGGCAAAAGGTCCACGCCCACTACGTGGCAGCCGACCAGGCTACGCTCTCAGAACACCGACAAGGCTAACGTCATGTGACCGGTCGTCTCGGTGCCGCAAGGCTTGCCTCTGCCAGATCGGCCGTCAAAGTATGACAGCCCGTCTTTCCTCATCTCCCAAAAATAAAATCTCAAACACAGGAGATAAAGACATGATGCTTTCGCAAAACTCCAAATCGGGTCGTCCTGTACCATGCAAGTCCGGGTATGTAGTTTATCTTGTCATTCCCTCGCCTCGATAAAAAAATGCCTTCCCCCTTAGTACCGAAACGCCAGGCCAATGCTGAAATTAGACACGTATTGTGGCTCAATCGAGATTGCGCAAAATGAATAGTCGTATGTCCCTCAGTTGCTTTTGTGATGTGAGACCAGCACCTAGGAGGTGGCTGCTGTGCCATTCGTCGGCGCCGCTGCCGGCTTGTCTCCGTTGTGCTTCTTCACCTCTCTGTCCCGCAGGACTCTATACATGGCGCTCAAGCGGTCGCCCGTCACCTCATTGCTGGTGCTGTCGACAGGCCATAGGTTCGCCAGGAACTCCCTGTGATTCCGTTAGCTGCGTATCGCCCACAAGATCAACAAGACCTACCAGAAGCGGTTCTTAAGCGCATCATCTCGTTCCTTGACGAATTCGCGGTCCAGAAAATTACCAATGACAACCAACTCCTCGCCAAAGATTCTAGCACGCTCTTTGCTAGACTTGACTCTCTCCTTTGTCGTAACCAGAATCGCCTCGAAATTTCCTCGCACAGGCTTCAGAAGGTACCATAGCATCGCATCCGCGTCCTTCTCTCTCTCCTCCTTGTTGTCTCCCATTTTGCGGAGTTGGTCGAGCCGGCGCAGAGCTTGGTTGCGCCGTTCACTATCAGGCTGGCTGGCTCGCGGGGTGTTGCTTGAACGACGGCGGTCATCTCCAGGCCGATGATCCTCCGAACGGCGGTGCTTGCTGCTGCGTTCGCCCTCATCACGCTGCCTGGGTCGATCAGCCCTGGGAGAGTGCTGCTCATCGCCATTGCTCTTTGTGCGTCGCGTCTCGTCCATTCTCCGATGCTTGGGAATGCGGCCCTCGTCGTGGCCCGAGTGTTTTCTCTTCGAGTCTGGACGGGGCGTAGTCCTCTCATCAACGTTACTACGGCTACGATGATGGTCGGCGTGGCTGCGTTCTCTATCCCGGTGCGAGCCGCTCTTCTTGAGCGCCGGTGGAGCAGGGGATGCCGCGCCGCTGCCAACATCGCTGCGGCGATGTCCGTTTGCCAATCTCTTATTATTCCGATGGTGGTTCTCGACGGCTCTGTGAGCTAACGGGTCGGTCGAGTGCTTGGCCTGAAGTACAGAGAGCAGGTACTCTGAACGACGAACGAGATGGACAGCGCCGGGTGAGTTGACCACTTTTTCGGCTCCCTTGTTTCGCTCCTCCTTCTTCTCGATGCGATGCTCTTCGAGGAAGAACTTGTCTGACATGTCCAGTTGGTCATCGTCCCGGATCTGCGCCCAAGCGCCGAAACCATACTTGTCGATGCCGACAAGAAGCATCCCATCTTCCCGCGCGCCCCATTCACATGAGTAATGGGCGGCCTTAGTCGCATCGGCGAGACGAAACGTTTTGAAATCATCATTCTTCCGAATGGTTTGCCTCAGCAGACGAAGCTGTCGCGGGCGTTCAACAGCTGTCTCGGCGTTCATCTTCCGCACTTCGCCGAAGTCGACCAGGACAGCCTTCTTGTCCTTCTTCGTCAACGACTTGCCGAGTTTTCGCTCATCGTCCATGAGACGCGCGGTGTTGTCGTTTAGTGCATCTTCGCAAGTCTTGACAAAGTCGTCCAAGATGGATTTGAGGTAGTCACGATCGCGTTCGGCAAGTCGGGCTTCTTGGACGATTTCGTCACCACGGTCTTCCATAGAACCGTATCGGAAGAAGGCCTTCAGAAGGTTTCGCGTTTCTTTCTCGTTGAGTGGGCGCTTGGGGTCAGAAAGTAGGGCACGCTGCTCCTCGGCTTCCTGGCGTTGCTGTTCTTCCCTCTGCCGCTTCTTTGCAAGGCGGTCAGACCTGTCCGTCTCATTCCGATTCTTCATGGTCGCTCTGCGTGGAGCGCTCTCGGCAGCAACCTTTGCCACATACTCCTCATTCTTGCGCTGTTCTTCCTCAGCTTTGATGACGGCAAGTTCATCGGCAGGAATGATCTGGTCCCAGTCGAGTGCCAAGTCATCCACCTTTACATCAGTGTATTGCATGAAATTGTCCCAGTCGATGCCACCACTGCTAAGGTTCATCTTGTCGTCGACCTTGGTCTTCGTGATTTCGGCATTCTCCAAGATCGAATCGATGTCGAGTTGTTCAAGACGCTCTTGGTTGCCGCTTTGCTCAAACATCTTTTGTGAACGCATCTTGAGGATCAACTGGATATCTTCTGCGGAGTTCGGGCCATCGATCTTCAAACCCTTCTTGTTCATTTCCTCTCGGAATGCCTTGCCATCATCAGTGACGCCAGCTTGAATTGTGAGGTACTCAAGCAGGAGCTTGTTGCGAGCTCGCTCCAGAACCTCTTCTTCGACTGTTTCTTTGGATACCAACCGATAGATGCTGACGGGCTTCTTCTGTCCGATGCGGTGAGCGCGTCCCATAGCTTGCAGATCAGCCTGCGGATTCCAGTCGGAATCGAAAATAACGACAGTATCGGCCGTCATCAAGTTAATACCCAAGCCACCTGCTCTGGTGGAAAGCAGGAAGCAGAAGTCGTCGCTATCTTCGGCGTTGAAGTGGTTAATAGCCATACGGCGAGGGCCGGCGGCGATAGTGCCATCAAGACGCTGGAATTTATAGCCTCTGAGAGCCATATAGTCGCTGAGAATATCCAGCATCTTAACCATCTGACTGAAGACAAGGACTCTATGGCCGTCTTTTTTGAGCTTGGTGAGCAGCTGATCCAGGAGCATCATCTTTCCACTGCTAGCAATCAAGCCTTTAATTTGGTCCTCCCGACGGGTGCTGCCAGCGAGCACTCTATCTTCGGCACCGGCAAACATGTAAGGATGGTTGCTAACTTTCTTCAGCTCCATCATGATGTTGAGCAAGGAGTTCTTCTGGCCTGTGGCGTTGGAAAGTGCGGCGTAGTTCCTTGTAAGAATGTTCTTGTAGTACTCCAACTGAACGTCCGACAGCTCGACACGAATGATTTTCTCGGTCTTGGGTGGAAGATCGGACTCAACAGTCTCCTTTGTACGGCGCAAGATATAAGGAGCGATTGACTTATGTAGGTCTTGCAGCTTCTCTTGGGTATCGTTGCCGGCGAGGTTCTCCAGCTCTTCATCAATGACAACTTTGCCAGGGTTGAGAAAGTCCATTAGTGCCGAAAGCTCGGCCAGGTTGTTCTGAATGGGCGTGCCGGTGATCAAAATCTTGCAAGGCACCCCGAAGCTGACAAGTCTCGCATACAATTGAGACTCCTTGTTCTTCAAGCGATGAGCCTCGTCGACAAGCAGGGCCTGCCATTTGATTTGCTGAAGGAATTGCCAGTCTTGGAGAATCATCTCGTATGAAGTAATAAGGGCGTTGAACTTGGGTTTTTTGGGGTTGCCGTTAACCATTAGCTCGTTGTCACGGATGGTGCTGCGAGAAGCCTCATTGCCGAGATAGACGACATAGTTCATGTCTGGGGACCAGTTGTCGAAGGTATCGCCCCATGCAGGGATGACACTGAGAGGCGCAACGATGAGGAAGGGGCCCTCTTGTTCGCGCTCGTTGCGAAGCCAGCTAAGAAACGAAACGCTTTGGACAGTTTTGCCGAGACCCATCTCATCGGCAAGAATGACATTGTTGGCGCGAGTCCAGTT